ACCGACTGTAGACCTGAACGTCCTCCAATTTTCGTATGTTTGCAATCACCGTTTCCAAATGCGGCTAGCCCGAAGAACTGCTTTTCTTTTCTGGAACGATGGGAGACCAACACATGGGTTCGTTCTGATGCAGCTGCCCGCTGTCAACTGATATCGACTACAAGCTTGCCATTTGCACCCGACGCTCTGGTTGGGCTTGCAGAGACTGACGAGTTTGTGAAATCACCTATTCCGCAACAGAACATGGATTCCTGGTCAAGAGGACACTTGTTTATTGACCGCTGTGAGGGTCCGGTCCTCGAGAGCGTCCCCGGGATCATCCGCCACGCTCGCCGTCGTGACGTTTGCTTGCACAGGCAAGCTGCCGCAGTCTTGAATGGCCGGAAAAACAAAGTCCATATTCGAGACCGCCGCTGAGCAAATGCCGAAGTCAAAGATCCCCAGAAACCCCTCCCTGATGCGAACATGTGAAAATCACAGTCACCGGCGGAAAGAAGCCATTATCATGCCGCTTGGCACCAGGCATCCGACCTGCAATATGCATCTGAGCAATTCTGATCTGTCAGAATCACACTTTGTGCGTCTCGTTCCCGCCCTCGTCATTGCCATTGTCGCCGCGAATCGTGCGTGTTCCGATAAAGCACCGTTGGCTCGTTACCAAAGTATCAACCCCCAAAACATGTCAAGACGTTAGCCTTCTCAATTCGTTGGTCCAATTGGGCTTCTGGTACATGAAGCGCACTTTGTCGGTCGAGCACTGGCCCGATCACGTCTCACAGACCGAAGCTGAGAAGGGGAAGCGAAAGAAGGGTAAATGCAGCATGTCGACGCCAAAATTCTTCAGCTGCCTCAGAAGCAGCACACTGGGCAACACCTGTGGAGGGTGGTATATGGGTGGCCCGCAACATGCAGCCTTGGGGCTTGCAGCATACAGGAAGAAGTTGGTGATCTCTGCGGGGTGGAGGACCACGTTGTGTGACCCAACATGGCCAATGGTGGCACAGACTCAGAATAGAGGGTGTGATCCTCGATCCTGAGGCGTGGCAACACGGCGCCGACACTTGCGTAGACAGTATTGCCTGCGTGCTTCAATGCCGGCTGCAAGCCCCCGCGCTTCCGCCGCGTTGAAGCTCGATCCACGATATAGACAACACCCACAAACCAAAGCGTGTGGGGGAGCGTCTAGAAGGAACGGCAGTCTGACAGGAAGGGCAATAAGCTGCCGCCCACGGCAAGAGCTGCCTACATGTAGCTCCTCTCATGTAATTGACACGGAGGCAACTTGCGGGCGAGAACTCTAAACCGACGTGGCACACCGACGGGACACTTCGCGCTCTGGTAATCTGTTGAGGCTTGAGAATGCAGACGCACAAGCGACGTGAAGAAGGAATGGGAAATCACCAGGAAGATCCTCGACGAGTCTTGATCCCCCCTGCATTGCGCAGTTCACCATGACCCGACAAGGCTGGCACGTTGTCTCCCACACCAGGACCTTGCTGGAGAGTGGGGAGTGGTGAAGCGTCAAGGTACTTTGTTTGCGTGGAGGAATAGCGAGGATGGATGGTAATCCTGTTTTTGGAGCGCCGCCACCAGGGACGAGTGGCTGATGAAGGCGCGGTAAGCACGGATGACATGCATATGGCTGTCTGTCTGTCTGTCTGCTTGTCTGTCTGTCTGTCAGTCAGTCAGGCGGATGTCAACCTTTGTCCAGCCATGGGGCATGTGGGCATGACATGGTTGAGGGTGTGAATGGGAGCGGGAAGTGCCTTATGAGATGGGCTGCATGGTGTCTCACCAGCCCACCACGGCTGCAAGGTTGGAGTGACGTGCGAATGGGAAGAGACCCGTCGAAGCCGTCAAGCGAAGGTGTGTTGGCCGGGAGTTTGGATGGACGCGGCAGAGGGGTGTGGCGTCATGCACGACACGAGGATCAGGTCTCCACAGGACATAATTGAGGGTGAGGGCCATTACAGCCGACAATACTGGCTGGCGGCTGACGGCTCTTTTTTTGTCTTGTCGGGTCGAGTCCAGGCTAGACGAGGGGCGGGCGTGGTGTCGGTGGTGGTGGTGGTGGTAGTGGTGTTGGTGGGTGCGAGGGGCAGGCCACCTATCTTAGGCGTTGTGATAGATCAGGAAGTCGCGTGTCGTCAAACAAGGCACGTCACCGTCGCAGCCCACATAACCCTTGGAAGCAGCAGTAGCAGGAGCCGGCTAGGCAGGAAGACCCTTGGAGAAACGGCAGGGCGCTAAAGACGGTCCTTTCCTTGTGCTGTAGTGTCCGAGTGTCCTGTCCTGTCCTGTCCTGGCCTGTCCCGTCCTGTCCTGTCCTGGTCCTGTCCTGGCCTCTCCCGTCCCGTACCATGTACGCAAATGGTCGGTCGATGCTATGCCAGCGTACCAGTATCTTGTCACCCTGTTCTTGTCTACCGTACCATAGCACATGGGCATGTAGACGGAGCTCCACACTATCCATCCCGCCCGTAGCTGCATATGTGCCTGTGTGTCTGTGTGTCGACTGATGTTTTGCATCCACCATCCCAAGAAATGAAATGCCACGGGCTGATCTGGTCGCGGTACCTCCACAGCTCTAAGCTCCTTACGAGTAGAATACATGCACAACGTACAGGACTAGGTGGCTAGGTGCAGATGTCAAGACTAATAGGGGTCCACTGCAAGGGTCCCGCGCTCCACCCGTTAATTTCTGTCTGACGAGTGGCATCTGATGGGCGCTCATGTACTGTACTCTACCGTGCAAAGCTGTTTAGTACATCGCCCACTACCTAGGCCAGCAGTGGCCAGCTAGGTAGCTTGGGTTAAAAAGTCAACGCTCCTCTGAGCGGAGGTTATGAGGGTGTCATGGTGTCTGTCGACCTGTCAAGCTGCCCACAGCCCACACAGGCTTGCGACGACACTTTCCAGGCTCACTCAACCTTGCCCCTTTGCGGCCCCGAGCTCCGACATCTCGGCAAACGAGGTCGGATGGGTGCCTTTCCCAGATTTTCCGCGGGGTTTTCAACCTTCTCCTCATTGCTTCTTCCAACCGGTTCCCGCTGCTTCACTCGTTCATATTCCAATCTACGGTACACATCCCCCCCCCCCCGACTTGCGGTGGGGGACTCGGCATGTCGATCTCCCTTTGTTGAGCCTCATGTCTTCAATTGGTGCTAACCTGGGGTTGTACTGCCTCTGAGCTGGGCCCGCGGCTGCAACCCATCTGGCCGTCTCGGCCGTCCTTGTCGTCCAAGGAGGGCTGTTCGAGACCTACCTCTCCGTCATTGTCAATATCCGTCCCGTTCCTGAATGTGAAGAGGCACGGCGCAGTGCAGGACCAGAGCAGAACAGAGCACACTCACAGGCCGCGGATCGAGTCCGGCTCAGATCCATCCTGACTTGACTTGAATTGCAAATTATACGCGTACGTCCCTCCAGCCATGCGTGTCCAGTTGTCTGAATGGCTGTGTGACCGTCGCTTGCATCCGTCATGTCTCCGCAACAGTGGACCGCACCTGTCAATCAACATACGAGGGGTATCTCGCGCGGGACTGTGGTGCAGCCCGATGCCTGGAGGCCGGATGCTCGTTTTCGCCGCTCATTCTCGCCTCTGTCGTCAACACAGTAGCAACCGGCCGCTTTTCGCATACAATTCCTCTTGTCCAGACGCTTATCTGTCATTTTTCACATTTGCCTTCGCTCTTTTTTTTTTGTTCCATTATTCTCCCCGCTCTCGCCTGCCCAGGTGACTCTCGCGACTTGTCCCAGTGCTGGCCTGTCAGTTGCCTTGATCAGTCAGATCAGTCAGTCCTTTCCCGCTCCAATGGGCAGCCCCCACCATGGGACTCGACCTTCTCCAGCCTGTAAACCATACCCGCGCCCGCACCCGTCCCCGAGCCGTGCTAGTGCCCATCTCGATCTTTGCATGTCCCAACAACACAACACATAACCATATCAACAACCACCTCCACCACCGTTGGGAAGCTCCGACCGGATTTGTCTCTCATCTGTCCTGGTCGATGATATTAAACTTACCGTCCTTGGCCTTCACAAGCTTTTACAATTGGCTTTAATTACAAATCGACGCCACTCAGGCCGTGCAGCCAGACAGCCTGCAGCAAAACAAAAAAAAAACAGGGGCATGGCCGTGGTTGAAGCATGTTGGTCCTTTGACGTGCAGATGAGGCCATTCACATGCAGCAGCCGTCCCCTCCACCCTTCCCCGTCTTTTTAGTCATGAGCCCGGACACCTTGGGCCGGCCTGGCAGGGCGGCAGGTTGAGGGCCATCCACACATGCCGCAATGCTGCCCTCTGGATGCGGTATACACATATTGCAAGGCGCCTCTGCGTCTCCACCGCATCCGCAGCGTGACAGCTACAGTGGGGAGGGGCCCATGTCAGAAGCCAAGCTCTGGCTACTCGAACAACGGGGGGAGCCCATTGTAAGAATCCACAACGGGAGATGCGACGACGCCCTTTTTGATCGGCGGCGGGACGACGTGACGTTTGGCCCTCTACTGCTCCATCAGCGTCGGTGTCAGTGTCCATCTCCCCCTGTCCACGGCACGGTACTGCTCATCCATGGACCCCTGCCCTCCTCCGAGACCCCTGGCAGGAGTCCAACCCACCCTCTCGAGCTTGACAGGTGCGGGCCCCCGGTCTTCCGCCGTTCTCACCCTTGTCCCTTGCACACCTTAATTGTCCTCCTTCCGGCGCCACATATAAAGTCGTCTGTTCCTTCTCAGGTGATTTTGTCTTGTACTGCCGCTCTCTATCTATCGGTGTTCATTCATATACTCACGTCGAACCTCTCACTCTTGTTCTTGTCTCCGAGAGTTGTTCCCTCTCCAACCAAACCTCTGTTTCTTCTCTGCGTTACGAAAACCTGCTATTGCATTGGCTCCTCTTCAAGTGTGAACAGGCTTTTTCGAGGCTGTCACATCCTTCTTCACTCTTTGTCCATCATCATCCATCTTTCTCGAGCATCCAAAAACCACCACCAGTCACCATGAGCGGAAGCGGTGGATTCTACAAGTACAGGTGCAAGTACTTTTACACCCACAACTGCACAAATTGGGTCTATGTCAATAACTCACCCTGTGCCAATTGTCTCGTGAGTCCCCCAAACCACTTGGACATCCTACCATTGTGCGGGGGTCGAGCCAGCCGACTAACCTTTCCCACGTCCAGGCCGAGGGCAGGGATTCCGTCGAAACCCCAGCCCAGCAACCGTTCAAGGACATCATGGTGCCTTACTGGGACGTCAATGGCATGCGGCAAGAGTGCCTCATGGAGTATGTCGCGACGGACGCCTCGGGCGTCTACTGGAGCCTCAGGTATAAGGCCCCCGTGCAGATGGGCCCGACGGTCACGAGCGACACGCCCAGGCCGGTCTACCCTCCGTCGTAGGCACAGGTCTATGCTGCTGCTGGCTCCTGCAGCATCTGCTGTTGTGCCCCGAGTCTTCCGACCAGAGCATCCTTTGCACGACTTGGGGCCCGTGGAACCAACCCCAACACACCCAACCACTCCGAAGCAACGATTCCGGTCATATGAGGCTCCTTTCTCTCTTCTTTCTATCACCACAAATCATCCTCAATCGGGACCATTTTAGGATGGGGACGGCGAGATAGTGACGCCAGTCAGCAAGAGTGGCGGATTCAGTGGAGGCTCGCATGATGGCCACGGGTCAATGATCCAGCAGGAGAGGTGCTTGATACATTGAGATGACCGTTTCTCTCTGGTGTCGGGGCAGCAAGCAACAGGTATTCTTTTATGGGACGACATGGACGGGGTCAGGAGTGGGTGCACCAGCCAGACCAAGTGGCTGTGCTTGAGGGAAAGTTTGAAAAACAACATTTGAAAAAATCCCCGTGTATGGGGTTTACACGAGACGGGAAGGGTTAAGAAAAATGCCCCGGTCTTTCTCCGCGTGGGCTTCACCTTGGAACACGTGTTTTTTTGCGGAGCAACCGTACGAGAGCCCACATCCCCCAGGGATCTGGTCTGGCTATTCAACGGGGAGGGTTTTTGGTCTTTTCTCTGTCCGGGGAACAAGGATAAATGGAGATATTCCCTTGGTGGGACTACGCTACCCAGGTACTTAGGAGGAAGCTTGCCACACGGGGAAGGAGGGATGGAGGCTGCTTGAGCTTGCGGCATGTGCCGGCGGAAGGTACCGAGATTGTCTGTCAAGCACGGCGCTGGAGGAAAAGTTTGATTTTTTTTTGGTTTCCTTCCTACTACTCTGCAGGGCTCGCGCTAAAAATCTGATTTATGTTGGGTTGATTGGAACAAGGGCGGCCGGTAATGTGATTTGATACTCCAGCAAGGCATGGGCACTGCAGACAGAGCTGGTGATGCATGGAGGCAAGATCTCGGTTTCCGAACCAGCAGTTGCTGGCTTGTTGTTTTTGTTGTGGGACACGGCAGTTTTGATTGACAGGGCACACAATTTGTATATCACCCGCTCTTGCGCTATATTTAATCTAAGAATGGACGGCTAGGTTGGCCTCGCATCAAAAATCCCGGTATGATACCAGAGACAAAGGAAATCGAGCCATACATACCCTGGGTTGGGTGCCGACAGCTCCATCCCATCCCACCTCAGTTCCTCCTTGTCCCGGACGGGACGGATAGATAGATAGCTTCATGTGCCGACATCGGGACCCCAGGTCAGGTCTCGGGCCATCCTCACGTCCAGACAATCTCGGGGAATCGGCCCCCAGCATCCAAACGATTCGACGTCTCCCGCGGATCTATCTTGGGGGTTGCGAGCCGGGACCGTTGAGCAAAAAAGAAACGCCACCCCAAACTTGGCGCAGGGCAGGGGCCGGGGCTTGGGCAGCGACGACTGGGGTCCGCGGCCGAGCTTGTTTTGTTCCTGTTGGAGGGGCGGGTTGCATTCCAGGAACAGGTGGAGTCCTGGAGGCAGGTGAGTGGTGTGAGTATGGAGTGTATGTGTGTCTGTGCTTGTGCGGCTGTGCCTGGGTTATGGCCTCTTGTGTATATGTACCTACGCAGAGGAGAGACATGTTACACCAACAAGCACCAACAAGCACCAACAAGCACCAACAAGCACCAACAAGGCGGATTAGAGGCAGTACACGTGTAGCTTCCGCACATGTGGGGGGGTTTGTCTCGGGCAGCCGGTAGGAAGGCCAGCACAGTAGCCGCAAATTCAATCTGATATACTTCAAATAGTCCCGTCTGCCCCCATGTACCGATGTTCCATGTTCGATGTCGCGACAAAATGGAAAATAGGGGAAAATGAGATCTAGCCAGGTCTAGACGTGTTCCCTCTGATTGATTGCAACCTGCCGAGCCTGGTAAGGCAAGGTGAGGGAAGCTGTGGGCACCACGTTTTCCCCATGTGGCTTGGAGTGCAACCTCGGCAATGAGAGGGTTGTGAAGAGGCACGGTGAGAAAGGTAAGCAGGCTGCAAGGTGAAGAGTTAAGCGTTGGACAGTCCATTCCGTTGTGGACCGCAGAACAGCGCACGGCTGGTCACCAATCTGCGAAGAATTGCGCGCGAGGCTTTCGCCCGGAGAGTCACGACGGAGGCCGGAGGCCAGATGCCAGAAATCAATAAATCAAGAAATATCGGTGTGAATAGTCGTGGCCGCCCGTCACATGTTGTCCCATCCATGCCACGGTCGTACAGAGATCCCATAAAGGAACCCCTCCAAGACGCCAGCGGCCCAATCCGAGCTTATTCTCCAAGACACTCGGTAGCGAGCCGGAAGAGGGACGTTGTGCTCACTCGACTCGCCCGCAAATTGGGAAGCTTCCCGGATATGAAACGCTCCCCCGTCCCGAAGCTCATATAAGTTAATGGTTGCTGCAGCGCGGGTATGCACCTACACACGCGCACTCACGCATATACCTGGGGCTTCTTCATCTACCGGTAACGTCCGCCAACAAACAGCCTGACATGGCGGTGAGGCGAGCTTCGCCGTAGCAGGCAAGATTGATAAAGGAGGACTTTTGAGTTTATATCAAACTCGGAAACTCCCAATACCTTGATGGGTGGACCAACGCAGCGACGATACGAGCTCTCACCACGCCATGAGGCGCTCCACGTGTGGTTGAATGACACTTCGATGCTTTTCTTGGGATGACGAGCTCTGTCACGGCGGCGGCGGCAAGTGGGCCAGCCGGGCGCTGAGATGACCCTCTGTCTGGGAACTGCCGCTCGGCTCGTGGCATATTACCCGCTCCCGTCAGTGTGAGAACCGGGAAATGGAAGAAAAAGGGAAGAAGGAAAAGGAAGTGCACAACGGGGACGCATGCCGCTGCAGCGGGGGGGCGTGCCCCAACAGACCGCGCTGCAGTGACAGCTGTCTTTTCTCGGTTGGGCTCCGGGAGCTTCATCCATACATCCCTCTGTTTCTCTCCGCCTGCGAGCTGCGTCATGCGAGCTTGAATTGAGTTTACCAGGGCCCCGGAGGTCAAACACAGAAATCAACTGCAGACATGCCTGTCTGTGCATGCTGTACTGTACTGATCAGTAATATGTACAGATACATGACCATCGAAGACGGGGGTAGCATGTCGCCCTCTTCGGAGGCCTGGCCGAGTCACCGATCTGCCCACCTCCACCACTTGCAGGTGAGAGAGGAGGAGGTCCCCTTCACCTGAAATTCCCATACGGCGCACGGACCGAAGAGTACCGTTTGTGTGGAGTACTTTGTAGGGAGGGGGCCGGTAACCCAAACGTGATTGTGCCGTGCAGGCCGGCACGCAGACGGTCGCTGTCACATGAGCGATAGATCCGGCGACTGCGTGTTTCGATAAGAAGTCCACAATCGCCGTATGTTATGTTTCCGTTGAAATGGAGCCACCCTGACTGTTACGCGAAAATAAACGACTTGGTCGTAGTATCCCGAAGCCGATGATGACAGCAGCCGAGACGAAAAAGCAAAGTTGACGTGCCGGGATCCACCCACACGCGCGCACACATACGCATCCCAGGGTGGGTCAATCTGTCCCGGGGTCGTGGGCCCACTCGCTTCGATAGCGGCGCCATGCTGGGAAAAGCCGTGACAGCCCCAAGATTGAAGGGGATGCTCAACACGAATTCATGCCAAGTCCACTTGATGGAGTCTAAGCCGACGAGCCACGAGTCCATGACTGATCCCCGACCTCGCTCAGGGGGTTTTGACACGGGTGGTCGGGTGTTTGTCGTGCGTCCGCGGTTGACCGAAACAGGCACTTCCGGCTGTACGACGTCGGTCGGTCTGCGGGAGCGATCAGGGCGAGGTGGCAGGGTGGGTGGATGACCTGCATACTCAACCAAGAAAACGTCACTCGAGGCTGGCGCACGGTTGTGGGGTGGTCGCGAACCGCCCTGGGTGTGGACCACCTCTGTCAAACTCGCATGAGAACGGTGTAAGGCTTAGGCTGTTTATAGATATCTCCATCTTGCCAATCCTTCCTATTGCGTCGCCACCTGAGACCGAGAACTGCACCTAACGTGGAGCAGAGATTCAGTTGGGCGGTCCCGAAAGGAAATTTGACGTCCCTATTATCCGGTGAAGAGGTCGGGAGTAGCTGAGCTGTTCACTCGCTCGCGGGTCCCCCATCGGCAAGCTGTCGTCAAGATGCGTGTTGCCACAGTAGCATAGACAACAAAGTGCTGGGTTCGAAAGATACTGCACAGAATAGAGAAGATTGGGTATGATACGTGATATTGTCGGAGTGAAAATAAGTCCGCATGCCGTCGTAGATCATGACGCATCGAGTCAAGCGCAGTCTCACGCTCGTTATCGGCTCTTCGCATTCGTACCGTCAAGACTCAAGAGCATAATTTGTGGGGAAATAAGGAGGGAAAAGGGAGAAAAGACTACGTGAGGCTCCAAAAAGCCCACTATGAGAGGAAATCACAGACGCGCTCAAAAGTACCTAGGCCCCTTCTGAGTCAGAACAGCACGGGAAACGTGAAGACGGGGACACAAAGTGGGGATAAGGCAGGAACGTGGAGGTGAGGAAAAAGCGTAAAGACGAGGCAGTTACGACCTCGGGCATTTGGCAGCTAGACAGTAGGTGCGTTTTCATCAAGTACCGAGCAGTCTCGAGGTGCTAACATGGCAAGTAATCGAATTGACTTCATATAATCCATTGTGCAGAAAGCCATATCTACCAGGGGCTGGTAATCAATTTACATGGGCTCCGACCAGCCATATCCCCAAACGCCATTACCCCGTGCCATTCCTGTTGGCCTATCCAAAACTCATGCCACATTATGTCTTTTGGACGGACTTCATCCTTTGAAATAACTAAGTAGACATTGCCGCCACCAGTAGCGTCAGGCCCAGACCCCAGCTGACGCTCTTCCACCAGCTCGGAGGCGCCAGCGCACCCGCCGCACTGCCAAGGCCGTAGGGTCCCTGCAGCTGGAACGTCACGTTTTGCACTATGCTCGAGTTGAAGCAGTTCCCGTTGACGATGTCCAGGTTTGTCAAGTCATTCGGATTGTGGAAGAACATGTACTGGTTCTGGGGGATGCCGTTGAAGCCCTTCGTGTTGTACGGGAAGAGGTCGCTGCTGTCTGTGGAGCTCGTGTTGCGGAGGAAGATGCACTGCACCTGGTTGGGGAAGTCCTTGACCAGCTCTGGATAATCAGACATGATATCCGAGTTCGATGTGTCGCCCACGAGGATGAACTTGCGCTGCGGGAAGGTCTGGAAGATCTTTTGAAGCAGGAACTTGCGGATCGACAGCGTTGCCGACACATCGCTGAAGTTGAGCGGCCGGGTATCGAAGGAGCCCAGTGGGTAGGTCTTGTAGATAAAATCCATATAGTTCTTGGTGACCTGCTCCGGCGTCGTCGTGAGGTAGTGGAAGTGCAGGTTCTGGATGGACTTGGACCAGTTGGCATAGATCTCTGGCATGTTCTCCCACGGCGTGAAGGGACGGGCGAACGAGTTGAGGAGGCCCTCCTTCGGGTCGTAGATCTTTGTGACTCGAAGAATGTCGTCAATGTCCTAGTAACATTCGTCAGTATATTGAATCCGCGTAAGTACTGCGATGTGGTATATCATACCGAAATGATAGTAATACCCGTCGGCGGGACCAGATAAGCAGTAGCATTGCCTGTCGTCTCTGCGCCCCGGACCCAAAGATCCAGCACCTGCAGCCGGTCCGTCTCGTTACCTGGCAGCAGGTGGCCGCCGTTTGGCCCCGTGGTGTTCTGCAGGACGATGAAACTGTCGAAATCTCCCTGCTCGGTCGTGTTGAACGGCATGGTAATGTTCTGTGTTCCACCCGCTGCGCTGATCGCACCGCTGTCCGTGTTGGGGTCAACAGTCGCATCATTGATGATATCGATGATGACCTGCTCGTTGTCCTGCTGCACGACGAAGATCTCGCTTGTCAGGTTCCGCGCCTGATTCTGCTGGTCCTCGGGCAGGTCCGTAATGTCAGTGTCAATGAGGAACACGTTTGCCAGGTCGTTGAGCTTGTCCTGCGAGATATTTGGCTGTTTGTAGATGTTCCCGTGTATCCTCAGGTTCCACCCCTGATCCGTCCAGTTGGCGTACGGCGGCACGTTAAGTGCCTGTGTCGGCGAGGCATCAAGGTCGCTCGATGAGATGCCCAGGCTGGACTCGACAGCCGTGCCAGTTGGCAGGTCATTGAAGAACTGCGGGACGCCAGAAGCGACGAAGCTGGAGACACCGGAGCCGAGGGACGAGAAGACGGAGTTGAGGTAGCCGCCAAAATCGAGATCACGGCCTTCCAGACGCTCAAGAGCTCGACGGTCGAGAGACGGGGGAGGAGTGATCATGGGATGGGCGGCAGCCACAGGGTTGGGTGCTGCTGCTGCCAATTGCGCGCACGCGAGCATTGCCCCGAGGATGGAACTCCGTGAGAATGCCATGTTGTTTGCGAGGATGACTGAGGGCGGTAGCAAAGACCAAGCGTTGAGAGAGAGAATGGCGTTGATGGTGTGGCACCCAGTGGTCGTAAGGCCTTCAACCTGTGTCAATCGTCCTGATTGAGAGAGGTCGACACGTCAATCGCGAAGACAATTGACCGCTGGATGAGAAGGTGAAGTCGGGAAGATCGGCGTGGGTCCCATCGCCCTTTTCTCTGGGGCCTGGCCAGCTCCTCGGAGGGTAGATTACCTGCTAGAGCGAGTGAGGGCTAGGCTGTTGTCATGCTGGTGTTGTGTTTCAAGCTTGGTTGGAAGCTTAATACGCTGCTGACGGCATGACGTCAAACTGCCCCTTCTGGCCCTCGGCAAGCCCAATCCCCCGCCCTGATTCGTCGAGACCGGCAGCTAGTGACGCCTCCCCTGGCGGCCAGAACCAAGGAAGCAAGGTAGCGTCGCATCAATAAGCTCGAGGAGGAATCGAGGCTGAATTCCGGTCTGGTTGCCCTGGTGTGCCTGGCTAGCTCCCGAAATTGGACGGCCATGGCATGTGTATCATCACTCACTGCTTTGAATGATGGTGTTGAGTCTACACTGTAGTGGGTGCGTATTCTCTTGTTTTCTTTCCATTTTGTGTTGTATTGTATTGTGCTCTGTTGTCTTGGTTGTCTTGTGTACATTATGTGTAGTTGTCTTCTTGTCTGCTGTAGCACCATCTATCCAGGATGACTTTCCTGGTCTATCCTCCCGTATACGTCTCTGTCTCTCCTCTAACCCCTTCCCATCTGCTACCATTCTATCCAATGCATCAAGGCCACGCCTAAACACCACTCTGGGCCGGCATATCCCGCACTCTTGACGGCCGAATTGAGTTATTGTAGTATCTAGGCCATCCATACGAGGGTTCCTCCGCTGGTGGATCTTCAACTGGGGCTGCGTAACCCAGGAAGGTCCTCGGGTGAGGCACGTGTGTGAGAAACAGCACAATCACAAAGGTAAAGGTCATCATCGGCAGCGGCCACGGCGTGTCAAAGAAGCTGTGCAGGCTTGTGGCGTTGGTGGACAGCAGCGTGACGAACATGAGCGCCAGGCCGAGCACGCCGATGAACCCAGACCGCAGGATGTTGAATGGTGTCCAGCCCTCTCTCTTCGAGGCCGCGTGCAGGAGTACCAGAAGGATCACCAGCGTGCCGGCCGCTAGGAAGGCATAGACAAAGACGAGGTTGAACATGCGTGTCGTCGCCTCAAACGCCTCCCTCTGTATGCCAAAGACATCCGTCGAATTGGTTGATGGACCCTCGAACGGGTCGAGCTCGAAGTTGCTGAAGATGGTGTCTATGGTCGTCGAGAAGAGCTCCACCAAGTCATCCTGGAACTCGCGGAGTGAACTTGTCATCGCTCCACTAGACACAAACGACTCGTTGACGTAGCTGGTTTTGTTGGACAGCTCCTCCCAGAGCTCTTCAGGAAGTCTTGACACATTCTGCAAGGTGTCCATGACGCCTTGCATCACCAGTGTCCTGTCTTCCTGCGCAGGGTAAGTGTCAAAGACTCTCGTAACAGTCTCATTCAGCTTGGATGCAACCTCTAGGCTTGTTGGGACCGCGGGCAGGGTAGACAGCACGTTGAAGATATCGGCCGAAGACTGGGTTATAAGCTCCAGAAGCCTCCACCAAATGATGAACTGGTTCATGGCCTCCATGACCAGAAGTAGGGCAAAGTGGAAGGGTAGGTGGAGAAGAGCCCAGGCGGTCTGGGGCCAGGATGTCATTCTGTTGGGGTGCATCCAATCGAAGTAGATTTGGAAAATCAGGTAGACCATCGCTATTCCGGAGACAAAGATGAGCAGCATCTGGGGGCCTGAACAGATCGAAAATACCATATTTAGCAAAACAGCCGGCTTTAAATGAAAAAGAAAATAGGAGAGGAACGACTCACTCCAAGACATCCAGCTGTTCTGGGAGTTCCGCTCGATGTTGGTCAGGTCACGAGCAAGATTGATTACACCCTCTCCCAGTACTACGAGCGTAAGCTGGCTCAACCTCTCAGGCAGGTGGCTGCTTTCAAAGCTGACCACGCGAGACATCATTGCGACGACAAGGTTGCCCACAATCTCAGATGTGGACACAACCATCCAGGCAATGTAAGCCGGGCTGTTCTCATGAACAAAGAACGCTGCAGACACGATGGCATAAAGGCTGGCAGCCATGACATGGATGGCGAGGACTGCGATGAGACCACCGCGGCCCTGTCCGAAATATCGGGTCTGCCAGAGCACAATCCCGTACTGGCCTGCCAGAACCAGTCTGGAGAAGGCCAGCACGAGAGACAGCGAGGCAAAGACGCCACGGGTCTGGTCCGAAGGGTCGAAGAACGGCGCGGCCTGGACGAAAACCAACAGGACCCCGAGCTGCACCGCCCGGGTGACTCGCTCGACGACACTGTCCTCGAGGAAGCGGACGTCGTAGATAACTACCAGGAACCACGTCGTCCACAGCAGGAAGATGTACTGCAGGAATGAGCCCAGCTCGGCCCGGCTGGTGATCTCGTGCGCTGACGTGAAGACGTTGAGGGTAGCGACCACCCAGAGGTCGTAGAAGAGCTCGAGGATCGAGGACGTCTCGCGCTTTCTGAACCTGGGCTGCTCATCCGCGAGGATCACGCCGCTCTCGGGCCGGAGGCTGAACTTGTCGTCATCGTCGGCGTTGGCGGACTTGGAGAAGTCCTTCTCGTCCAGCCGGCTGCTCAGCCAGCTGATCTTGTTGGCACGGAACTGGATGACGCTCTGTCTGACGCTCGAGCGGGTACTCTTGGGGCTAGAGGGGACCTGAAGCCGCAGGCTCTCCCTGGAGTCCTTGAAGTCCTCCATCGTCTCTTCACCGGGAAGTAGGAACGAACATGAGTGATGTATTCAGAAGGCTGAGTAGTGAATTTGTTTTTGACCTGGATGCTGTCGGGAGTAGGTGGATCTTGAGGAGTCCGTCAGTGAGACTTTTGAGGATATTAGGCCCCCCTTCTCATCGCTCATCAAGATCGCCCGAGAAATGTGGTCACATTTGATCCGTCTCGACATCGATCAGCTCAAAGTTGTGGCATTTGCATCTATCTGCCGAAGGGGCCAGATTGTAAGCAGAGACACCCAGCCGCATATGGAACACTTTGCAAGTTAACTTACAGGTATAAGCTTTCGCGAGTGAGCACTTGTCTCCAGTCCGAACTCAATATTATTTGCTTGTTTACAGGGCATTTTGAAGATCTATCAGGCTTGGCAATGCCATTTAATAAGGCTGGCCGGCGGAATAGAGTGCATCGGATAGGCGGGACACCGTGAAGGTTGATTTGACCGGCCGATGAGCAAATCGGCAGGCCTGATCAGCAGCCTTGTGTGGGTCGCATCACGGCACGGAACAGTGGGCGACGGGCCGCGAAGTTTGGACGTTTCAACCCATCTTTAGGACAAGTGCGAGAGCTGGCGTGGGGGTCCACACCATGGCGACAGTGATGCTTGTGTACTGCGGGCCTGCATGATAAGTTTGCATGAGGACGTCCTCAGCGGTTTCAAGGCGAGGTCCGCCGAAAGCTTGACCGCTGTCGGGCGGATAATACGGATGGATCTTGACGAATGGGATGTGGCCCTTTTCGTCCCACCATCGGGGCGAAGCTTGTTTTCACAATACTCAGCCGCGCGTGCGTGCTTCGGAGAATTATTTCATTACACGCGGACCCTACAAAACTCTAGCGACGGCAGCTACATAACGGAAGAGATAAGCTTGAAGCTACACTGTTCCAGCCTCTCACATGCCAACAGAGTATAAATTAAAAGCATCAACGGCCTCTTTACTCCAAAAGGTGCCCAGATCATGGCGAAAAAGTATACCATAGTTATGGCATTAGTTCCCAACTCTGGTCTAAGTATGCTCGAGCTCTTCTGAATTGACTGCATAAAAGGAGAATTGTTTATCTGTATCATCTGGAATCTAGGTGATTGTCTGATGTTCGCTGCACTATCTTGGCAACAGATCAAATTTCTTGGCGGAGCAATTTACTACCGGTTTCAATGTGCTGAGTCAACCGCAAGCTTTCTACCTCATAGCTTCATTATCGTGTTTGTGCAGAGTAAGGATCTGGCTCTTTGGAGAAGGCCGTGCTCAAGTGCCGTAGATCCGAGGGCGGTTGAACTCAATAACAGTCATTCAAGCGATCTGTCATTCTCACATGCAAGCTTCAGAGTTTCGAAAGCAGAGTAAGATCATTCTAGAGACCCCTTTTTCTATGCAGACCATCAGCAGCCGTTGGAAATGGATCAATGATACCTCAATCTCTGCACTACAGGTGAAGAGCAAATACATCTGCTCAGCCCAACATCAATTAATCACGTAGCCTACAAGATAATCCGCCGCTATGAATGCTTGCAGGTCATGCGGGTATTTGTATACTCCGGAGATGAGCTCATTCCTCTCTGTATGAGGGATGAAACAGCGACTTGACTCGATTTGCTTTGCGGCTCTTCGGCTGCTTTGGACACATATTCAGGAGGAGGGACGACCTGCATGGTGATCAGTGCTGCAGTCTCGTCTTGTGTTCCAGAGATACAGATAAGGGCACATTAACTCATAATACAAATCTTCCCCGAAAGTCATATGCTCAGCCATAATTTCACCTGGCAAAAGTAGAATTAGTACGCGGAAATCATTGCCTCGACCTTTATCTTGAGGTATGCGCGATCCATCTGGACTGATATCACAAGTACATCCTCTGCAGAACTGGCCAAATTGCGTTCGCTAATACCACAAAGATATCTCAGAAACAGCAAGAAGGCCCATGAACCGAGAGATATGTAATTCAAAAACATCATTGTGTGGTTGTCCCGATGCAGACTCAATCACACTTGCTCGACAGCTCAAACTGCGGCTCGTCCATGCCAAGAGCTAACCTGAGTGTAGCTGCGAGATGTTGTTCACCTCGTTGTTTGGCCATGATATCCCAACAATTCTTCAGCGTTAAAAATTGATGCCGATGACATGAATCCGACCAGATTCACTTCAAAGCTCGGGAATTTGAGCTCAGCACGGCCACTGGACCGAACGTCCCAAATTCTGGCTTTGGTGTGTAATGACCCATTATTCCTCAACAACATGACAATGAGGAAGGTGATTCAGCTCGACAGGGGCGCTACTGTTTCCTTTCTTGGTAGTCTGCGCCCCTGAGCGCCTCAGCTCCTCCACGCTCGGGCCTTGAGTAAACGTACTGGTGCATCACAAACCCATAATGAGCATATCATTTCTCGCTTATGATTCTGGCACACTTTGTCTGGAGCTCCTCTGAGTATGCAGGAAAGGTGAGGTGGCTGTCGATCCTGCAGCCCCAATATCCAGTCTGACAGTATGCTTGAGACTTCCTACTGGCTTGTTGTGTGTTTCATGTACACGACCCGCCCGTTGACTGAATGAATAAGCCCAAGAGGGCAGTTTCCAAAACTGGTGGGGTGAGATACCATGGCAAGATCGGCTCCAACCCACGTACAGACAATGCCACACCGTGTATCCCAATGCGCATCAGCTCAAGGCTTTGGTATCCTGTAGACATGAGCTTCATAACAACGATATATGATGATGGTTTTGATTTTGGACAATGAAAGATCAGAAGCGGTGAAGATGGAGCACCCTTTTTGTGCAACTGCTGTTGATCAACATATATAAGTTCAACATTTGTGTCACGGCCAAATCGTAGGGCTCCATTGTGTTATAACCAATGTCTCAACAGTGGATATCCCGACAGCTCTTTAAAACATTACAGCAGCCTTAAGCGTCATTCTTCGTGGACGCCAATTCGCAAGCCTTTCAACGATATCCTCAGTCCAGCTTCAACCCTGCTTTCTCCGTCGCTCACGAAACGCCCAGTATGATCGACGTTCGTGTTAAGGAGAAGCACGATGAATACAAAGCCCGGACGAAATACCTTGCCGAGCGTCTCAAAGGTTATGGAATAGATTTTGAGTGCCCAAAGGGATTGGTGCAAAGACCTGATGGCGAGAACGGCCAAAGACACCTACTGCGTCTCGCCAACTTTGTACCCCTGGCCCGTTACTTGACCAGCCACAGAAGCTTCTCAGTCGCAGAATCTGTTATGTTCGCTGCTAAACGTAACGTGAAACTAAGGCAGGAATGCAACGACTACTTCAAGATGGCAAAACTTGGTTCGCGAGACTCATTCGAAAGGCACGAGGCTGCCATTCATGTATTTCAGGAAGTCAGGGACATACTTCGCCAGAGGCTGAAAGCCGATAGGGATCTCCATCCAAAGTTGGAAGCCACAAAAGTCTTGCCGGATGCAAAGCGTAAGGCTGCGCGGCTCGACTATACAGTCTTGCCTGTCGAATACCTCGAAAACGACACGGACGAAGTCCTTGGATCCGCGAGTGTTTATAGGCGAACGCGACCTAGTAAGTACCATTCGAGGCCGGTTTATTGAAAGGTCAAAGTTTCTGTGATCGCTACAGATGTGGGTCGTCATGAGATTGCTAACAACTGAACCATAGCCATCAACGAGACACGGGTCGCTGGGAGGCTTATCGGCCTCATTACAGTCGCCATGAAGTTTTTGACCTTCTCGGGCGGTCTTAAGTGGATCACCAAGCGCTACTGGTTTAGGCAGAATGCCGGCGTCAACAACGACGAAATTGTTTAGAGTGTTGCCTCGGGTTTTATAGACACATCGCGGGAGGCCATGAAGAGCAAGATGTCCATCACTTCAATGTTGCAAGCCGGCTCGCAGGACTGAGCTACTTGGACAACATGATGATACCCCATGTTGTCTCTTCGTGATGAATGACCTCGAAGATAGGATTCGTAGAGATCAGGTCTCATGATTCCTTGTTTCTAGGAGAGCAACTGTACACCATTATCGAGGGACAAATGTGGATATTGTGGGGTTGGTGATGGTTTCGGTGCTCTATTGACTTGGAGAATCTTTTTATATATGGGTCACAAATTTTCTAAATAGTACTGCGAAAACCTCACAAAAAGGAGCCAGTGAGTTCTCATGCAAAACTCATCAGGAAGACCTTTTCTGGACGCATCCAAAGGCTGCAGAACGTTCATTTCAAGAGTTTCTGACTCTAAGAGGCTAGGGTAGGGGTGGATGGAAACTCCCCTCAACGCTCCGTCCAATGTTGTATCTTATGTGTCTCCTTATATTTAAACACAATTCGTAAGTTTCCCGTCACTAGAATGAGCTGAGATATTGTGGGCAGCAAGCACAGCTGGAACTCCTTGACATTCCTGCTGACGGAGTCAATTAAAACTAGGTAGATACTTAGCTATATGTTCTTCAGCGCCATTCTATCACTTCCGCCTGGCTCAGTTCATCTGTCCTCTGTGGCAATGTGATCCTCAAGTCAAGGATGTGATGGTTCTCTCTCCAACATCATTTCAGAGAGTTGGAACAGAAACTCAAACGAAATGTAGACCAAGCCAGATGCTGCTCGATTGAGGCTTCGCTCGACATGGTGTACAGATAGGCAGTCATATCGACCGGATACCGCTGCTTTCGCCTACATCATATAAGGCCGTACGTATACGTAGGGGCAGAGAAGCACATCGAAGCACACACTGTCATTCACTTTTGATCCCTTCTATTGCGTGCACGAGAACTTATCACAACCATATCTCCGGAACAATGTCACATAGAACGCCACTGTGCAACATTTCAGCCTGCCTGAGCTCGATATTCAGGCCGATCCACTGCTGACTGACTCTAGTTGCGTCACCTAAGGAGGATATCATCTATGTATGTCTCAGTAATCCTGTTGATTCCTTGGCATGGATAGCCCCTGAGATGAGCCGCGCGAGGGTTCGACTAGGCTCCACGAAGCTTTTGCCCAATAACTGTCACTCTAGTCGCAAACACCTCGGATTCAAGAGTTCCAGCTCGGACTCGCCTTCCCGCCTGCGATGCCCGTTCTCCGGCTTGCTGGTGAAAGCTTCCCTTCCATTTCTTGCTCATATCATAGAAACGAGTGCCTGCCAATTCTTCATTCTTCTTCTGGAAACAGCATGATTCCAGGAAAGGGCGGGATTTTACAGGAAACGACATTTCGATCCAAATTGCCTTTACAAAGGCACATATTCACCTGAGCTGGGAGACGAAATGAATCTTCAAGTCGTCATAGTAAGCATAATACCCCCTGGGCCGAAGAATCAGATCATCGGCTTGCGCGGCCATGTCTCTGGTGAATCAAGTAGAGAACCCGACCGGAGGCCGATGGAGCTGTGTGACTGAGTCTCCGTCAAACCGAGGTGATCGGACTTGTCTTCTCTCACTTGCGAGGTCCCTTCAGAATATAAATACTCGTTCTTCGATCGCTTTCAACCATCAATTCCTTCCTACAGCAGCATCGCCACTTCCATCTCGGCCAGAATTTCGCCAAAGACACAGCCTCGTCCTCCTCATCTCTCGCAGCTTGATCAATTCTCCCATCCATCATGAAGTTCACCATCCTCGCCGCCACCCTGCTTACCTCAGTGGTTTCCGCCAGGTCTTTCACTCTGTATGACGATGTCAACTTTGGTGGAGCGGCCCATGCTGAGAACCGGAACAACGATGCCGCTTGCTGTATGCACGCGAAACACACTCTACAATCAGGAAGTCAGTTACTAACTGGACGTCAGGGAACCTCAACGGCGCAGGTGACCACACGAGCTCTGTGAAGGGTGGCTCTGGGTGCACCACGTTCTTCCAGTAAGTCCTCTGCTCATTCTCCCTTGGAAAATCCTTACTTATATAGCAACCAGACAACGGGACTGCCAAGGTAGCAACTGGCAGCAGCGTGGCAATGCATTCACGGTTCCGGACTTCCTGAACGACCACATTTGGTCATACCGCAACCAGTGCTAGGTGCAATTCGGATTGTATAAATTTGTCGGTGGTTGCCTGTTAGTGTGGGAGCAACCAGGGACAGACGATAATTGCATTCTGGCCAGTCGTTACATTGAGTCAGCATCTAAAATGCACCGGCACTTTGCCTTCACACTTACCTTTCAACAAGGTCCTTTACATGTGTCCTACGCTACTATTCTCAGCAGTATATTGAATAAATAATAATACTGCTTCAATTGGTTGCTGCTGAATGTGTGCTCAACTGAAAAACCTCAAGTGCTGTAGAAACTGTCAGTGGTACAAATTCTCACGTTATATCCTCTGGGATCTGAGACATTTCGCCTCGCTTACGATTCTCAAGCGGATTCATTGTTGGGATCACCAAATCCTTACACGGTCTCAGAGAAAACTATTAAAAGCCCCACCGGAATCAAGACCGGTGCGTGATAAGCTAGATATAAACATATCTATCATAAACGAATCTACACCTAATATCCACTGAAGTAAAAGTCATCCATCACCCTGGATCAAATCTTCACATAGCGGATGATGAACTCCGGAGAGTCATACCGGTCCCAGCTCTCCACGAGATCCCTGTCCGCCGCAATCTTCAACGCAAAGATACTCAACCGATACCGCCCAGCCGGCACCCACGAGCCGTCGGCCAGGCTGCCGTCCCAGGGGCTCATCCAGCCGATAGGTCGGTGATACATCATTGGGTAGCCAGCGACGTTCCCTAGCGTGACGACCCCGAGACCATTGTCCTTGGCATCTGGGTTCGGGTCGATAGGGACGGCCTCGATGCGGGTCTCGGAGCTGCCCATGACCAGCCACACGGACTGGTCCGGCAGAGCACCAAGCGGCAGGACCAGATCCGAGGTGTTGGACAGCGGCTGGCCCCAGTCCGGGTGGGCGGCCGGCGCAGGCAGCTGGAAGGTGGTGTTTGCGGGCACCTCCGGGTTGGTCTCGTCGTCGCTGCGGCTGAAGAAGAGGCGCTGGGAGGCGAGGACGGTGGCGTTCTTCATGGAGCCCGCGACGCCGATGTACGGCAGCGAGAGGGCGATGTCGCCGTCGCCGTTGGTGCCGTTCAGGGCGACCCAGCCGGAGTATATTGGCAGAGAAACGGCGTCGAGGCCCTTGGGGGGCACGACGCCCACGCGGACCTCGGCCGTGTCGTTGGGTTCAAGCATGAAAGTGGATGGCTCGAGGTCCAAGGTCGCGTAGACGGTACTCAGCTCTGGCGAGCTGCTGCGGTAGATCTCAAATAGGGTTGTAGCTGTCAGCGCTGGGATGTGGGACAGATTATAAGTTGCTGGCGTGTCTCCAACGTTGGTGACGGTGAAGGAAGCCTCGGTGACGAGGTTGTCCGTGTCGTTGAATGACAGGCTAGCGACGTTAAGAACAGACGTTGCATAAGCCGCATCGAAGGCCTGAACCATACCAGCACCCTGCTGTGGGACTGGGCCGAGAGCCACCTCGCTATTGGCTTCACCGTAGTTCTGTGATTTGGCTGGCTTGGCCGTCGATGCGAGCAGCCTCTTGATCAGGTTCGGATCCCTTGTTCCTCGAGCCTAACACTATTAGTCTACCAGAAAATGAAGCGCCGAGTTCAAACATGAAAACGACATACCTGGGACACAAGAGAGACAATGCTCGCTACCAAAGGCGTAGCCATCGATGTCCCTGACGCAACAGCATATGAGCCGAGTGCAACTGGCCAGGTACTCAAAATACCACCACCCGGTGAACCAAAGCTCGGCGCCAGCTTCAGCTCAAAGGTAGGACCCCAGCTGGTAAAGGCAGACACCCGCCCTGGGCTGTCCGCTCCCTCGCTCTGATACGAGGAGATAGACATGACCCCGTCCCCGGTGCTGGGCGTGCTGATCCCAAACAGACCCTCAGAGCCACCGACCTCGTTGCCCGCAGCAAAGGTGCACGGCACACCGGCTTCCACGATCCTTGAGACGGCGACAGCGAAAGCATCGCCAGCCCACCCATTAGGCCCGCCTACGGACCCTGTGATTATATCGGACCCATCCTCAAAGGCCTGGAATGCGGCAGCCAAAAGGATATCACCCGTGGTTGCGCCAGGGCACCCAAAGGTACGGTACATGCCGAGCTTCACGCCGGGAGAGGCACCGGTGAAGCCCATGGGATTCTCCGCTGCCGCTATGATGCCAGACACATGTGTGCCGTGGCCAAGGCAATCATCGAATGGGTCACCGTCAGGGACTGGAGCGCTGGTGCCATCAAAGGCATCGCCCACGAGATCTGCCCCATACTCCACAAGACAGCCAGAGCCAAAGCAGCCACCAAGGGCGGGGTGCGTGTAGTCGACGCCGGTGTCCACAATGCCGATGCGGAAGCCCTGGCCGGTAAATCCCTTGGCGCGGAGCTTGTCGACCTGCGTCAGGACATGAGGCGGCCAGGAGTCGGTAGAGTTGGCCTGGCGCTTATACTTGGAGGGGGCATTATCCTTACCCGTCCATGTGACGTCCAACTTGGGCACGGAGATCAATGGCACAGGCCACAGCTGCTTAACTTGGGGCAATGCGGCTATCTTGTTGGCTGCCTCGTCATGTGGGCCATCCACCTGGAAGGACACGCCTTTGAAGACCTTTGACTGAAGTTTGACGCGCTGGGAGACACCAGAAACGCCTGCTTCTGACTCGACCTTGCCGAGAAAGGTGGTGGCATCCTATATTGAAGTCAGGTCGAGTTACATCCCCAAAACGGTCATGAATAATACCTGGTCGTCGGAGAGCTCAACGATGTATGCGCCGGGAACGTTGATCTTCTCAAATGTGGGCGAGGTATTGTCCCTCTTGGTGGGAGAGGCACAGGCGAAGGCGGCGAGGCCAGCCAAGCCCGCAAGAGAGGTTTTCCAGCCGACCATGATGAAGTGAGCTGTCTGTTTTCCACAGAGAAGCGAACCTCAAAGTCCTGGGCTCTCAATCGGGAGCAGGCTTGGAAAACTGCATTGTACCTGCATATCAGGCACCTTTATATGTCGGCGACTTACACGACCTCGAGGGGTCAAGGGAACATTCCCAGGGGACATGACTATCTACGTTGCATCAAAAACCATCAGGAAGCCGTGAAGGGAGCATTTTCCCCCACCAGATGCACCCGAGAACAAGGTGCGGACGGATAAGACAGTTCTGGTGCGGGGCGATACGAGAGGACTGAGAGCATTTGAGCAAGTTAAGGCCGGACGTTGACGGGCCCCGGCGGTTCCTGGACGGTGGAATTGAGAATTGCCCATCTCAGGGTCGAGATAGGGGATTCTCCGTGCCGTGACAGCATCAATTTGAGGTTAGTGGCGCAACGACCGGTTGTATTGCCGGGCACATCAACAACGGGCGAAGAGGTTGAGAAGGGAAGGTAGTATTTGGCGGATGGTGAGATGTCGCCCAAGTTGGCGCACTCGGACTGCGGGAGACCGTATTGAGCGACTCATCCGGTTGGCATATACTCCTGGGGCCAATGTAGGCCATATGGCCAGTATATACGTGTATAGCCATGGGCAGCCCGTCAACTAGTCAGCTTGACTAGTCAGCTTGAGCATCGTGAGTAGACGAGAGAAGATAGCACCGGCAATGGCGGCCTGTGTGAAGAGGTCGTCGGTCCGGTTAGAAACTTGGCACCCATCATGGTCACCTGAGCGCTGCCGTCTCAATGCAGCGTCTTTAGGAACCTCGTGCGTTGAATGTGAGCAAAGTGGGCCTATTCGAGTGTTGGTTATAAGGCCAGGCCCATGAGAGATGGAGTCCAAACGGTCACTTGACGAGAGAAAGGGAGTGAGTGGGCTGTTCACAGAGAGAGTCGGGCCCGTGGAAGAAGTGGTCAACAAAGAAAGGTACATCACAGGTCATGTAAATGCATGTATCTGAGCAAGTACTCCAGGTACCCGCTAATCTCGACCCTGGGGCCCCGGACTGGCAGTGGGACCTTTACCCCTGTCGAGGGATTCGCAAACTGAGGAGCTCTGACCTGATTTTCTTGTCGCACGCCCATTGCCGCTGCACGTGAACCCCTCCAGCTCGCCGCCAACCATCACCAGATCTTGCCCTCCCCCTTGCGAACAGGCCAGCTTCACATAAATTGGGCTGCGCTGTGCTGAGCTGTGCTTTGCCAAATAGCACAACGTCCAATGCTTACGGCTACATGCAGTATCACACACCCTGCCCTTGTTGCACCCAGCCCATGACACAATGAAGACCGCCCGAGGGGCCTTCACATGCCTGCGATGTCGCATCTCGCAGTCGCAGTCGCAGTCGCAATCACGAACACAGGTGCGGCTACAGGCGCCGACACAATTACATAGCACACCACAAATCCGCAGGCAATTCCACATCTCGTCGCGACTGCGCTCAGAACAGTCCCTCGCCGCGGGCAGGCCCACCATCGCCCCCAAGCCGACCATCGACATCAAGCACATCCGCCAGAATCCCGCCCTCTACGAGCAGACCTGCCTCGAGCGCAACTACAAGGCCCAGGCCGCGTACCCGGCCCGCATACTCGCCCTGCATGAGGAGTGGCAGGCCCGCCAGCGCGACGGCCGCGCCCTGCGCGAGCGCTCCAATCTGCTGCGCCGCCAGATCGCCAACCCCTCGTCCGTGAGCGCCGACGAGGACCCGGCCGCTGCCAAGCCGCGCACGCGCGACGAGCTGCTCGACGAGGCGCGCCAGCTCAAGCAGCAGCTCGGCACCATCGAGCAGGACGAGGACCGCCTGCAGGCCGAGATCCAGGCCCTCGCCCTGTCGCTGCCCAACCTCACCAGCGACGACACCCCGCGCGGCGACCTCCCGGCCGTGCTGAGCTACATCAACGACCACCCGGAGCCGCACCCGCAGTCCTCGGACCGCGTCTGGCGCTCCCACGTCCACATCGGCTCCGAGCTGGGCATCCTCGACTTCGCCGGCGCCGCCACCAGCTCCGGCTGGGGCTGGTACTACCTGCTGGGCGACGGCGCCCAGCTCGAGCAGGCCCTGGTCGCCTACGCCCTCGACACCGCCCGCCGCTACGGCTGGGCCCAGGTCAGCCCGCCCTCCGTCGTCTACAGCCACATCGCCTCCGCCTGCGGCTTCCAGCCTCGCGACCAGCACGGCGAGACCCAGGTCTACACCCTGGGCCAGAGCCCCCGCGACAGGGAAAAGGGCCGCCCCGAGCTCAGCCTCGCCGCCACCGCCGAGATCCCCCTCGCCGGCATGCGCGCCGACACCGTCATGGACGAGGCCGACCTGCCCAGCCGCCGCGCCGCCGTCAGCCGCTGCTACCGCGCCGAGGCCGGCGCCCGCGGCGCCGACACCAAGGGCCTGTACCGCGTGCACGAGTTCACAAAGGTCGAGCTGTTTGCCTGGACGCCGCCCGACGCGGACGCCGCCGACGAGGTCTTTGAGGAGATGCTCGACATGCAGACCGAGATCCTCGGCTCCCTGGGCCTGCACTGCCGCGTGCTGGAGATGCCCTCGGCCGACCTGGGCGCCAGCGCCGCCCGCAAGAACGACATCGAGGCCTGGTTCCCCTCGCGTGCCCGCCGTGACACCACCGCTGCCGCCGTCGGTCGCGACGGCCAGGAGGGGGCGGCCGACTCGGCCGAGGAGGAGGGCTGGGGCGAGGTCACGTCCGCCAGCATCTGCACCGACTACCAGACGCGCCGGCTGGCGACGAGGGTCCGCATCGGCGGCGCCAACGGCAAGATGGTGTTTCCCTGGACTGTCAACGGCACTGCGCTGGCCGTGCCGAGAGTGCTGGCTGCCATATTGGAGACTGGCTGGGACGAGGGCAGCATGACGGTCACGATCCCCGAGGTCTTGCGGCCGTGGATGGACGGGAAGGATACCATCGGCCCAAAAAGCCGCACGCGTTAGTTGCGCCGGCGCTTGGTTGAGCCCAGGCTGGTGAGAAGAGTGGCAAGGGCGATGTAGAATATGCACGGTTCGACGATGGGGCTAGATAGCGAGGACACATGCATAAGGATAGGATACATCATAGCATGGCATACCCGGCAGGCTGGTTTATCTACGCATCAAATTCATCACTCAAAGCATAATTAGCATGGCTGGCGGTCGCATTGCATCATGAGTAACGCTATCATATTGACCCGTGGGCCTCTGGACTATCTACCTAATAGTTGGAGAAGGAGGTGACAATGAGACAAAATACCATGTCATCCATGCCTTCTTCGCTCCGTCTTCCATATCCGTGTTTGATTGTAGTGGTCGCTGTGGGACGTCTCATCGAAGGCAAAAAAAGACCAAAACACCCGTAACACCCAGCTTATGTTCGAAACCAGAACAGACCTCGTGACGTCGTACAAACACAAAGGGGGGCCATTCTGCCATAACATCCATTGGTCATCCCTTCACAGTTCCGTTTCCTCCATTCCCGTGTCCATCCGTCCGCCATCCCAAATCGTAAGTGCACCATGCCATTCATTCATACAACAGGTTTTCCTAGCCCTCCAACAGGGCAGGTTGACCTCCCACAGAGGACGCTCCATCACCTATCGTGCTGGTCGCGCCGAGTCCGTTCTCGCTCTCCGAGCCACTTACAACGCTGTCAGTGACAAGCGAGCTGCCCACCGCGCTTTCTGTCCAGTCGCTACCCGAGTCAGAGTACGTATCATAAGGGTCCTGCTCCTCGGTTCGTGCGTCCGTGTACTCCGACCCTGTCACCGAACCACTGCGCACACTTGACCGCCGCAGCGTTTCCGTGTCGCTATGATCGCCTTCCCGGTCGTCGGCCTGGCTACCATCGACAAGACTCTCGGTGCCGGCATCAGTGAAATCCTCACTCACAGCACTGCCACCATCGACGAGGCTCTCGGTGCCTGGATCGCTCCAGTTATCACTCAACGTGCTGCCGCTGAGCTCCGACGCTCCCACAGCACCGCCACCGCCACCAACAAGGACAACCTCCCCGCCTGGGTGCTCGCTGGCAGGAGTCTCGTCAAACCCTTCCTCGTCGCTCTCTCTAAGCGCGACGACGTCCATGTTGACATTCTCCTTGTCGCCTTCGCCACCAGCGTGGAGGTCACCGTAGCCCTTCTTGCCGGCATTCGCCCGCCCGTTCCAGCTCGACTTCCGGAGGGCCCCTGCGCCACCGAGAGTCTTGACGCTCTGACTCCTCTTGAATCCAGCGCCACCTGCGACTGTCGCAGCACTGAGGCCTGACTGCTTGTTAAGCTGGCTCAGCGACAGGATGCGGCGGGTCTGCTGTGGCGGCTGAAGGCCGTTGCGCTTGGAGTTCACGGCAGTCTTGAAGGCCGTCTGGTGGTGGCCGCCTGACTTGGAAGGTGCCGTTGGCTTCTCCTCAGGAATGCTGTCCTCAGCGGGCTTCTGCTTCGACGTCACCCGCTTGCGACTCATGATATCACGGGTCTCACGGTCCTTCTTGCTTGACTTGGCCATGAGAAGGATCCTGCTTTGGTCCATGACGCCCTCCAGGATGCGTCGTTCCAGCGCCTCTGCCCGGAACTCCATGTCATGGAGCTCCTCGCGGCGCAGCTTAAGTGCCGTCTCCAGGGAAGATACATCGCCGGTGAGCTTGACCTTCTGCCTAACAAGGCTCTCCTGCTCCACCTTTAACCCGACAATGCTATCCCGTAGACGGTCCTCTTCCATCTGGAGATCCACAATGGTTACCTCGGCCTGGTCTTTCTGGGCAAGTCTGCGCTCCAGGGCAACATTGGTCTCATGTAAAGTTTTGACCGTCTCCTGGAGTGTCTTTTCCATGTCCTCGTGGTCGTCCTCGATCCGCTGGGTCTGGGATGCCAGGAACGCCGAGAGCTCTGCAGCCGTCTTGACGACCTCGCTGTGGACCTTCTCGAGCGTGCTCAGCTGCTCGAGGGACTTGTCGGTTGTTGCGGTGTGGTCTACGAGCTTGTCGAGCTTCTCGTGGACGCCAGAGTCGTCATATTTCTCGGGCGGAGGCGGCAGCATGAGTGGTTCGGGCTTAGCCTCTTCGATCTTTTGGCTGATCTTCTCCTGCATCTCGTTGACGGACGTCTTGGAGTGCTCAAAGTGTTGGTCGACCATGGTGAGGACATCCTGGACTGCTTCGAGGATCTTGGGCTGGAACTCGCTGACCTCGCCCTTGAGCCCTTCGAACACACCCATGGCTTCCTTGACTTGATCGCGAGTCTGAGTGTGCTCCGCCTTGTTGTCGGTGTGGTTGTCGTCAGACTTTAGGTACATATCCTCGACACGAGTGAAGACGGTTTTCGACGCCTCTTCCATCTTTTCCAGTGAGTCAGTCACAGTAGAGCCCAGCGTGTCGATGAGGGTCTTGAGCTCTTCAGCAACAGCCTTCGTGCCGACGACAGACTCCTCGAGGTGCTCGTCACGGGTGTCTGCAGTCTTGTGGCGTTCCTCCAGGGCGGTCTGAAATTCGTCGTATTTGGTAATCACTTCGTCGATGCGTTCATCAATCTTGGCTCGAAGTGTGTCGGTTGTCGAATCAATTTTCTCGTCCGTCTCGAGCTTCGCGCCGACCACGCCGGCCTTGGAATCTTCGAATTCGGTCTTCATGGTCTCGAACATCTCCTTGAGATCCGAGTGGACACTGGCATTCGCGCCGATTGTCTCGCCCAGGGTCTCAAGGGACTTGCTCAGGCCCTCAACGCCAGTGGCACCTCCCTCGAGCTTCTCCTTTACCATGGTTTGCATCTCCTCGAGGAACGTCTTGACTTCCGTCACCCGATCAGCGACACCAACAGTCTCTGCCTGACGCTCCTCGAACTGCTTGGCGTTGGTCTCGGCATGCTTGTCCGCCAGCTCCTTGAGCTCGGTCGCGTGCTTTTCAGTTGCCTCCTTCAGCTCCGTGGCTTGCTTTTCCGTGGCCTCCTTGAATTCCGTGTTCTGCTTCTCCGAAAGCTCTTTGAACTCCGTGACTAAGGTTTCGAGGCTCTTCAGGTCGTCCTTTGAAGGGAGTGCGGCAATGTCAGACTTGACCATCTGCTCGACAACAGCCTTGACGTCGAGACACACCGCCTCAATGGCGTCTGTGTCGGTCTTGGTCACCTTCTCCGGATCTTCGAGCTGCTTTTCGTGACGCTCCTTCAGATCATCGAAGGCACCAACAAGCTGAGTGACGAGAGACTCGACGGCCTTGGTATCCTCACGGTGTGAGATGTCCTCGAGCTTCGTGGTCAGGCTGCCAAGTCCTTCTTTCGTCTCGAGAATTAAGGCCTCAAGTGCGTCGACGTGGTCCTTGCGAATTGCCTGCTCTCCATCCATGAGGTCATCAAGACGTGCCTTTGTGTTGCGAAGAATTGTCTCAATGGCTTCAATGTCTTCTCTCGTCGCAGCATCGGTGGGGGCGGGCCCTTCTCTTGGAGCCGGCGTCTCCCTGCTGGCCAAGTCATCGACTTGGAGCTTAATGCTGTCCAACATCTCCACCATAAGTTCGAGGTCGTCTTTCGTAAAAGACGGGCCTGACTCAGCTGGCGCGGGCGCGGGTTGAGGCGGTGGGCTTTCCATAGCCTCAACCTTGATGCGGAGTTGTGAGATGAGCACTTCGAGGTTCTTAATATCATCTTGTTTCAGCATATCCGCTGGCACGATGGCATCGGCGCTGATCGGTGCCAAAGCCTTACTGTTCTCACGTAGGCCTTCGATGTCAGACTTGACACCGTCGAGACCGGACTTGAGAGCATCAAGGACCTCGTCGTTGGCGGTCATATCAGCGGGTTTGTCGGCGATCTTCTCAATGCTGACCTTCAGATCGTTCAGACCCTCCTGTAGTGCATCGAGGACCTCATTTGTTCCGGCAATCGGACGCTGACTGATTTCTTGTCTGAGGCTACCAAGCCCTTCCTGCAGTGCATTGATGACTTCTTCGTGGCCTCCGTGCTGAGCTTGTGGAGTCACCGGTACCAATGTGCCATTGACCGTTTCTCGCAGAGCCTCTATCTCCTCTTTGATCAGGACCCTGGATCCGTCACCCTGCTTGGAGACAAGGTCCCCAATCTCGTCACGAAAGTCGTCAAGGCTCTTCAGGAGCCCCTCCATGAACTCTTCTTGACTCGCGACACCGGTGGCCCTGTCGACATAGCCCTCAATATCGGTTCGCAGTCTTTCGAAACCATCTTTGGTAGCATCGAGGACCTGCTCAGTATCTCGGCCGTTGGCAGCAACATTTTGCTTGGCCTCCAGAGAAACAGCCTTGAACTCCTCATGCATGGACTCCATAATTTCGTGAAGGCGTCCAATGATCTCCTCATTGTTGCCTTGGAATGGGACTAGAGGGCCTCTATCCTTTGCGGGCAGCTCCAGAGTCTCGAGGCCCTGCTTAACGGCGTCGATCATGTCCTGCTTGGAAAGGTCTGCTCCCAAAGCAGATGCGGCCACGGGGAATTCAAATTCCTCGAGGCAGTCCCGAACGGCTTCGACGATCTCGTCACGGGACAGTGCAGGTGGGACGTCGATCGGCGGAGGCGAGAAGTGTTGCAGGCCTTCTACCACTGCTTTGAAGACCTCCTCCCGTGTCGCTGCTTGAGGTTTGTCATCTTTTGGTGCATATTGCATGAAGCCCTCTTTGAGACAGGCGAGGACCTCATCCCTCTCGAGACCGACCTGTTCCACGGTGATTTCTGGTTTGTACCTTTCCCATGCGTCTCTGACAGCTTCAATGACGTCCTCCCTCTGAAGTTCAGGAGCATCCTTTTGCAGTGCTTTCGAGTCCTTGAGCGCTGTCCTCAACGCATTGTAAATCTCGTGATAGTCCACTGTGGGCGGCTTGTTGGCAGCCACGATGGCTTGCGATTGTCGGTGGTGCTCTTTTGTGACGCGGTTGATGTGGTCCTTCATCTCAAGAAGCCCCTCTCCGACAACCTTGTTGATTTCGGCCTTTGTTGCTGCAGCGGACTTGGCCTGGCTCGTCTCACCGACGTCGTCAAGCCTGCGGCCGATCTCACGCCCCATGCCGAGAACCTCGCCGCGAAGCTCTCGAACAAGAGCCTTAACCTCAGCCGTCAGGCCTCCTCCTTGTGCGACGCTGTCCTTGACGGTGCGGATGATTTTGACAATATCATCACTGATCAGATCAGCAGCTGCTCTCGCCATGGGTGCTGAGGCCCGACGCATGTCCTTATCCTGGACGAGTTGGTCCACACGGGATTCCAAGGACCTGTTACTGTACATCTCAGCTCCTTCATCGAAACTCATATTCCTGGGCAGTCCTGGCTTGCCCCTGACAGCTCCACTGCCACCAGGCTGAGCAAGGACAACAGACTGATCCATGTTGTTCTTAATAAGACGCTGGAGATCCTCAACCTTCTTCTCGACAACCGAGCCATTGAGTTTCTCGGCCAGGTCGGACAGCCGAGTCAAAAGTTTTTCCTGGCCATCCTTGGTTCCCATCTCACGAATGATCTTTTCGAGGAGTGTTACCGAGGCGGACGGATCACTGCCATATAGTGACGGAGTGCTAACGCTGTCCCGATCTAGCGACGCTGAAAAACTATTTGGTGATGGAATGCGAGGTAATGCGAAAGGGCGAGAGTTTGAGCTGATTTTCGAGGAGGGAGAGAGCGAATACGGTTTGTTGTCGAGCAAGAGTGGCCCCCCATGCAAGTCTCGCGATGTTGTCCGTGAGTGGACTTCCTCCATGTTATGAAGCAGGTCACGTAGGTGCTTCCTGATGTCCTCATCACGGGTGTGAGTAGCTTCCTTCAAGCTCAGCAAGTCTGTAGCATTATCCCTGCTTCGTCGGCTCAGCTGCGACATCTCCTTTTGCAGCGCTGTTGCTATGCTCGTCAGATTCAGAATTTGGCCCGAGAGGGTGTCCAGCTGTGGTTGAGGCCTTGCCGCCCCTGTGGCGCCATTGGTGACGTTGGCTAGGGGCTTGTCGGCGTCCCTCTCGCGGGGGGAATCTTTCGGAGTTGACATTGTCTGAAGTGCCAGCATAGTCGCGGACTGTGGGGGTGTATTCTCGCCGAGAATACTCTGAGGACGCCTCGGAGTCGGCCTTAGTACGGGCGTTAGGCTCTGACCGAGGGGGGTGAGGCTGATCTGTTTCTCGTCCTTCTCATCCAGATTGTGTCCTACGGAAGTATCTGTGTTGGTTCGGGACGGGGTTGTTGGTCTCTCCTTCCTTTCTGGTGATCTTGTGGGAGAGCCACCCCCCTCGATCATCAGGCTCAGGTCGCGAACCGACGACGGCTGCAATGACTGCATGCGCCGGTGCGCAGCGCCCCTGCCGGTGGTCCTCTCGGGAGAGACGTCTGGGGTTCGTTTTGTGAGAGGATGTGGCACGAGCTGGTTCTCGCGGGCTTTTTCTGTGAGGGCGGCATGTGCAGTCTGGATGGCAGACGAGGTGCCTGCGCGGGAAGTAGCCGTGACAGGCGACTGCGGGTTCAAGGGCAGCGGAGGAGGAGCCCGCTCGGGGTCTGAGCTGTCCCACCTGATAACTGTACTTAGCTTGCGCCAGAGTGAGGGCATGACATGGTGTGTAAGGACTCATCATTTGATGAGTGGGCGTGAAGCGGCGTGTAGAAGAGGGAGCCACAGGCTGGTGGAGGAATGTTCACTTACATGGGCACTAGAGCGCGGCTCTGGTCGAACGAGAATGACTGAGAATGGGAATGTCTTGAAGAATGGCTTGACCAAGGACGATCGCCATGGTTACTTGAGGAATCCCTCTCGCTGGGAGGCATGGTGGAGTATGTCCCGGGCTATCGTGGAGTCTTATTGTCGGGCTGGAATGGAGGTGTCTCTAGGCGGGAGCGGGTTTGTTGATCGAGGTCGGGGTGCAATGGCAGGGTATCGCGGCACTGTGTAATTAGGAAATGGCAGATAGAGCCAAACAGCTCGAAGAATACCTGGACGAACTGAGAAAAATTACGGGATGGGGGAGCAGAGGATCAAGGAATTGCTCTATAGCCGGCAGCGTTATTATGAGAGAGCATGAAGTTGCAATTTGACATTGCCATTCATGTTGGGCAGTGATGGATGGCTGGGAGGATTTTGGACGGGGCATGGGGGGATTGGGTGGATGAGGCGTACCAACAAAAGCTGCAACTGCGTAAGCGCATCTGCAAGGTGCGACTGTATCGAGCACCTCCAGCCATGTTGTTTATTCCTGCCAAGCTGGTTTCCACAGCACCCAACCACTCAATTGGGCCGATTGCCTGGAAGGCGCCACTCGCAACCGTGTCACCCCTGTCGCGTCTCTCTCGGTTCATCCCGGGATGACTGGGGTACCTTGCACATGTACTTTGCACACAGCCATCGATAAGCGATAGCAGCCTCACAGGCGGTGAAAAGCTGAGAAGACGCGTTTATTGTACGATAGTGCAAGGACATCACCCTTTCTACGTCACCACGCCAAGTGTATACCCTTGAGCACGGCACGTGAGTTTTCGGCAAACGACTACTCTGGGAACGGGTTCTTCATCAAATGAACCGTAAAAGGTTTGTATTCGCCGCTGTCTATTCCTATTCTGACCCAGCAAATCCCCTACACTCAGCAATTTAGCTAGTGCTGGTCGCAATCAGCTGCGACAGGCCGAGGACCTGCGCGGTGGTGATCTGCGCCGATGAGGTGTTGAAGCCCTCCTTGAACGGCAGGCGCTCCTCCTCGAACACGACCTTCATCCACTCCAATGGCGCGGCAGGCTCAGTGAAGCTTCCCCCGAGCGTCCCCAGGATCACGGCAGACTCGCCCAGGGACACGGTGACCTGGCTCGAGGTCAGGTTGAACGACGGGTTGGTGGCCTGCGCGGTGGCTATCCTCTTGCTCCGCGCCGAGGCCATGGTCGCGACGTCGACTGTCGACTCCACCGCGCCCGCCTCCAGGTAGCCCCTCGTCTCGTCCCAGACTGTCTCGTTGAACGTCTTGGCGTCGCCTGTTACGGCGAAGTCGGCTCGGGAGAGACTGCCGTCGTGCTCGATCACGTTGTGCTTCGCGATGTCGTCGAGGTTGAACGTGCTCGAGTTGCCTGTTGTGGACGTCGCAAAGGCGGCTATTATGCGTTAGTCACCTGCTACGGAGCCGAAGCGATGCATTCTGGAAGAGTGTGGTGAAGGACGGATGGGCAATCGTGACAGGGGAAGGTTAATACGTACGGGTCCCGAGTGTGCGAACGAGCGCCTCGTCGAAGTTGATGGCCTGGCCCAGCCCCGTGATCAGGTCCTGCATGCTGATCTCCTTGCCGTCTCGGGCCAGATAGCCGTGGTTGGCAAGGGAGTTGAGCATCGGGCAGGGTGAGCGTTTAGCCGCGGCATCGGGGGCTTGCCAGCTGAAGTTGGGGTCTTCATCGCGGCGGATGGCCATGGCGTGGGCTGACATGGCGGCTGAGGCGGCGAGGACTAATGAAGCGCGCATGGTTCAATGAGTGTCTTGGATCAAAAGAGAGGCTGTGCGTGCTGCCAAAGAGAGAGTGAAAGGCTGCGAGCGGGAAGAGTCGTGTGATGCAGAGTCAGGGCAATGATCTGGAGTCCACGTTCAAGCCATCTTATTATACGTCTTCTACCTCCACTTCGTGGGTGGGTTCCGCACGGTCAGTGCTGGCTGTATGCCTCGGTCGACGATGGAAAAAGTTTATTATTAGCCGTGTTGTTAGTTCTGGATATATCGTCCCATTCCACGTTCCCCGTTCGCGATTCCCCAGCGGCCGCTCCGAGAGGCCGGCTAATCCGACAAAACCGTCCCATCTTCCACATGGCAGCTTCGCCGAGGCGGCCGCGCTGTCCAACGCATGAAACTTCAACGTCGAGTCTTGGGAATAAGGGGTTGGCTAGAATTGCATGGGCGGGGCAAATCCACTTCGATCTTTATTTACCTTGGCTATATTAAGCAAAGGACGAGTTACACAGGTTCATCCTGACCGTTTCTGCCTCGATGGGCTGACGAGTGCCGCTTGCTCGCAAATCCCTACGCTATAATTGGCCCAGGGGCGATTGCTACCGTGGGTCGTTTGAAAATAATGAATACGGGTGGTATCTTGCCTAGTTGACTACTGCGTAAGGATCTCCTATGCGTGCGAGTAATGTTGAGCTTGGCACCCTGAGAAAATCGAACGCTAGAAGGTCCGAAATGCTGCGGCGAAAACACATATTTAAGGAGGGAAAAGAAGGGGCGCGCGCACATAGCCTCATTGCCAACACTAGATTTGCTGTTCTGTTGCCGTTTACTTCGAGTGCCCTGTGATTACTTTCGAGTTGCGAGCCCGTTGGCGTTTCTGCAGATGGGTGCGGGCTTACATAACGGCTGGTTGACATTCGTTGAGAAACTCAGCCCTACAACATCGTTTCAACAACCGCGGAACTGCCGCCGGTATGAAGCTTGCATATAACCTTAATTGCCAAGAGTTAAAGCTGGAGGCCAGTCTGATCGAGTTTAGAGCCGTCTTAAGAATAGCAAGCTGTTGGAAGAATTATGCAATATGTAGTTAAGGTAGTCGATATACTTCGGCTTGGCGGATAACAGACAGGGAGGGTTCAAAAGCTTATTTGATAGCGCAGGAATCATGGGATTGCTTCAGATGCAGAAAATGGCTTACACATCAGATGGCCGCCTTTTTCTTTGAAGGAGTTGGGTATTTTTATTTTCCGGCCAGTCCTCTAAACCGGGCATCCCTACTGTTGGTAGGCAGGAACATGGCTGAGCCAGAACTTCATCGCTCGCATATACCTGCCAAAGAATCAAATAAATGATTTTGCACCTGCTGAACGCCGTTTCCCTAGCCGATCTATTATAGGCTTGTACATCTTGACCACTTCATCGTCAACGCGACACGTCGTTTTTCCAGAATGTCCTATTTGGCAAGCGCCTTGTCAAAGGCCGGGATCAGTGTCTGGGCAAGCCAGAAAGAGAACACAAGCTTGGGCCCAGTCATCAGGAGCTGTGCGGATAGATAGTCAGCCTGTGCCCATTCCACGTATTGCGTCATCGCCAGGAACATGTAGGCGCTATACGTACCTTGGGGACAAGGCCCTTGAAGAAGGCACCCACGCCCTCGTTCTTGGCCATCTTGGTAAGGATCCGGAACCCGCTCTCGGGGTTCTCAAAGTTTCTGTTCTGAATGCGCGTCTTGATGACATCGAGCGGCGCGGACACGACGAGCGAGGCCGTCGCACCGGCGATCGAGGCGACAAAGTTTTGGAACCACGTCGCCTTGTTGTAGTCCTGCAGCTTGAACATGTACTCCTTGGCGAAGGCGGACCCTCCGAAGAGCGCGAAGCTACCAGGGGCGTTGCGCGCCGCCGTCCAACCCCATCCTCTGTACAGGCCGAAGCCCTCGTCCGCGACAATCTTCAGCACGCCTCGGCCACGGAAGGCCTCGGGGTTTGTTTGGCGCTTGATCTTGAGCACGTCGAGGGGCAGGAGGACGATCTCGCCGATGCCGATGAGAGATCCTGCGGTAGAGTGCAGGATGGCCTTGCCGGTCTTCTTGCCAAAGGCGTTCTCAAAGTCCGAGCCGTAGTGCTTGGTCAGGTAGTCACGGGCCACGGGCTGTCCGCCATACTTGTATATCCTCTGGAGGACCTTGTATCCCGCTGCGTATCCCAGACCGGGGAACAATGACACGAACTTTCGGCCGATAGGGGCGGCGGCCTTGTCCTTGAAGATGACGGCGGATAGTTGCGACGAATTCCTGATCTTAGTCTCGTTGCTCATGAGTCGCTTCGCGATCGTGTCGACCTGTCACCAGCGGAAGATTCAGTACAGGTACTGCAACGATTGGTCTCGTTCAGAGCTATAGGAAGCTTACAGGATGGAAGACAGCGAGCTCAGAGATACCAGCAGAGCCTGGGAGAGTCAGAACAGGTTCGTTTCAAGCTTATCACAATCGCGGGCGCACGCACCAGAGCCCAGCAGGCGCGCCAGGTTGGACTCCTTCTCCGTCGTGCGAGATGGGGGAGACATTTTTGCAGGTTCGAGTGGTCTACACAAAAAGAACGGCAAGGAAAACTGGCGGGGACTGGCTTGCAAGAAACGACACAGCGGTGGGAGTTGAACAATTGATCGCGTGCGGGAGAGGAAAGTCTCGAGAAAGTCTAAGCTCCGAGTCTCGCTCGAGATTTTTTTACGTGCCCTGCCCGCGGTGGAGAGCTGCAGGGCCCAAGATCCCCGCCTGGCTCTCCACACTAGCGGTAAGGTTACCGACTGCATGGGTATTGATCGTGTCAGGCAAGCTCCGACTTCGAAATGCACAACTCAACTATCCACAGATGGCAACTGTATGCTGGTGTGCTGAAGGACTAATTGAGTTGTTCGTTAAGAGACGGAGCTGTATCAGGTTAAATTCATCACGCGTGCTGAAAGTGCACAGGTTGTGTCAGTGACTCCGCCACAATGGCTGGGTAATCTCTATTCAACTATGCCGTTTTGCTATTCATTGAAAAACATTCATTCCGTGGTATCCATGCTCTCAGAATAACTCAAAGAACCGCTGCCCATGATATATCTACCATCTCGCTTCAGGGTCTTCAGTACTGGGTATAGTTGATCCCGCCCATATCTGGGCCATCGGCTGACCAGCCGTAAGAGTCCGTTCAATACGCCGCCATGTTGTGAAACCGAACAAGCTTTTTTCCCCAACGCCGTTGATGCAATTTTCCTCCCTGGGTCCGGCGACCAATTGAAAATCCCTAAAGGTGCCAACTAGAAATCCCTGAGGGTGCCAACAAGGCTGTCCAGTCTCGCAACCTGAGCCAAGAGCTTCTCCTGGATCTCCGAGATCCGGACGAACCGATTGTAGAACCGCCCCTCGAGCAGCTCCTTCTCCCGACCACGGACGTCGTCCCGCTTGACTGTGTCCAGCACCTCTCGCTCCATCTCTCGCTGGACCTCGAGCCGTTGCAGACATCGAAGCATAGCCTTGTACGTGTTATCGAGAAGGCGATCGAGGCAACGGCTCGTGTCTGTCCAGTATAGGAACAGGGTGCGGCTGGCAGTCCGGTTGTTGTCACGCGGTACCTCCTGCATGTCGACATACCCAAACATCTGCATCTTGAGCATCAATTTCTGGACCTCCCCTTTCGACATGAGGGCCAGGCTCGGCAGTGTCTTCTCGTCCATCTTGCCCACGCGTCGGAGGATGCGCACCAGTCGGAGTCCCGTCTGGCCGACGCTGCGCTCAATCATGGTGTCTAGTTCCATCTGTTGCAGACCTCGCATGAGCGGCTCGAAATCAACAGTCCACTGCTCCATGGCGCAGTGACGGAGGAATGTGTGCTGGCTTTCACACAGCAGCAACAGATGTTGGCGGAAATGCTCCTTCCGCGATAGCTTTGCTGGTCCTGTGTCGTTGAATTTGACCTTGCTTTCCTTCGTCCCATTCGCACCATTGATGACCGGCTTCAGGTCTACGCCTTCATCGTCATCCTCTGCAACGTGCTCCTCCACCTCCATCTCCTCATCCTCGTCGGAACTAGCTTCGCCTTCAACCTCGGCCTCATCGTTTGGCAGCTTCTTCATGTCTGGCGGGTGTTCCTGGATCTGGTTTGCGCTCTTGCGGTCGGTTGCCTTGGCACCCACCTTACCAATACCAGCGGAAACGTCAAGCGATGGACTCAGATTGTCGTAAACCTCGTTCGTGGAGACTCTACGGTCGTGCGGATATTCCTCGTCATCGTCAATGTCAACCTCTGGGTCCGATCGACACCTGGATATCTTCTTGCTGAGTTGCTGCAACAGAGTTGCGTAGACCTCGGCGGTAGTCTCGCCGTAGACCTCTAAAACGACGTGAGTGAGCTGTTGGTTGCGGAGCTCTACGGCGCATTTATCGTAGTTGACACGCAAGGCGACATCTCCCTTAAGCAAAAGTCAGCTGAGCTCACTGAACACCAGTCAGGAGCAACCTACATCGATGATCAAGTCGCTTTCAGAGGCACCGCCGCCATTTGTGTAGCTCCAGCCCGACAACTTTCTCCGCTTGCTCACTGAGATCTTGGATTGGAGTGTACCCTTGAGGCTGAGCGGCTCGTCTCGTACTTCCCGCAGTCTCTTGGCCCTCCTACTAGCATAGTCCTCCTTGCCCTTGGTGCCACGGACGCCTCCGGCGAAGAAGGTCTTGATAATCTCGTCTTCGAGGGCTTTGTACTTGTCGTCCAAGCTCCGGAAAGAACTTTCGGTGACCGTGACGACCAGCTCGGCCTGGATCAGCCGGCAGAGAACGTCGTCGAGCTGCTCCAGCGATTTGACGTAAAGCCCAGTCTTGCTGTCCTTCTTGGCCTCGCCGGACTCGTCTTCGTCGTCGTGATCCGCATCTCCGTTGACGGTCGTGGCGAGCCGGGCAGCTTGCTTGAACTTGGCTTGGTAGGCGTCCCTGAGATCCTCGACCTTGGCATGACCCATACTCAACAAGTTCTGCGTGACCTCCTTCTCTTCTTCGCCGTAGACGGCACCGATCATGTCCAAGATCTTGCCGATGCGAACAATATTATAGGCGGCGTCGACATTCGGTGCGTAGATGGCATGGCCGGACTCGACTTTCCAGTACAGGAGGTTGTTTTGCACGAGCACTACGAGCCCATGGCGAAGTTGCCGGGTGGTGAGCGAGGTGTACTGAATGAGCTGTGGGATTGATGATCGGCCCTTGCTCATGAGAGCGGCAAAAATGCGCTGGGATGAATGTCAGTCAGATGTCCGACCGCAGTGTGCCCCAACTGGGAGAGGTGCACGATGTGCGACGAATGAACATACCGATGGCAGTTCGCCATAGACATCGTCGACAAGAAGAGCGCACAGCTCAGCAAGGCTTTTCGTCTGCGCGCAAGGTTGTCAGCGACTGCCGCTGAAGCTCTCATAACCAGCTGGCTGGTGGGGGCATTGCTACTTACCACCTGCATCGCAACAGGCAAATGGGGGGGGGGGGATATGCAGGCGGAAATGGGTGGATGCTGGAGGTGCGGCCGCTTGAGATCCTCTCACTATCCCAAGTTGGCCTTCAATGCTACCGTGAAGTCATTTGGTGATATCAAGAGGGTCCGTGATTGACGAACGAAGAAAAGGGCAACTCGGTACAGGTACAGTGGTATGTATGCAAAAAGAATTAGGTAGTGAAGCTGTTGCAGGAAATTTTGGCTGGGTGGGTAACGACAAATTTGTGAGTGAGTCGCATGCGGCCTACTTGCCGCTTGCCCCTCCATGGGGCGGCGCCGGTGACTCGTTGGAGCCTCGAGCTCCACGAATTGGGGGATTTTGGGGTACGTGGGTACAACTCGTGCCTGGACTGCTTCCTTGGGCACCCAACGGCTCAGACACCTTGAACCGTATGACACAGCTTACTGTGAGATGGCTTCTACAGAGCAGCCAGGCTGCTAACCCGATACCAGATTGCTGCCCTCATCAACCCGGAGATTTCATCAAAGGCCTTGGGGCCCCCACTGGTGACCCTCCTGGTTCAAGAAATGAACTCGAGATTACATCGGGCTAGGAAATTGTACCAAAGCAGAGGCTGTCTCTGTGCAGGCCCTCGACCAGATACCCACCACCGTAAGAGCGAGCAACAATGTCGAGTCTAGGTGTGCCATCTTGGGTGCAACAGTTGTTTCCCTCCATGATATATGTATAAATATATCATGGTTGAATATAACGATATGTATATACTCGGGCAGACCATTGAATATGGCTTTTCAATATAAGATAAGTACCGAGTAAAAAAGGAAAGCGTCCAGTTGACAGTTGAGGCCGTACCTGTCTGTCTACATGGGTGTTGTAATCCATGACTGCATGCATACCTTGGTACTTGGAAAACGTGGTGGTTTTAAGAGCATTCACTCCTTGAGCAAGGACGCCAAACAAGATCCTTTGACCAGCAACTCCAGCACCCTCTGATACCTGTACCTCTCTCATGAGCAGGAATTCTAAACGAATGCCAAACACTCAGTTTACATCAATTTAATCCAACCTCGAGGCCAAACAATTCCCAATCCTGCCAACCCATCGTTCGAGGTGAGTTGGCTGCCCCCAGTGCAAATTGCTCAGCCGCCAGCCAATCCGAGCCCAGCGGTTGCTGCTTAGGCCGGAGCGAACCGGAATTTCTTGCTGGCCCCCCAGGGTCGGGTCAATCTCGAAAGCTTCGTTTCCTGACAGAACAAGGTCCCGTCACCCGGTCGCAGACACCACAGTCCCCGTCAATTGACACACACCCACCACCCACCCCTCACATCATGATCGGCCGATCAGCTCTGACGAGGGGAGCCCGTCTTGCCCTCCGCCGGCAGGACTGCGCCAGCCTCGCCCAGCGACGCGGGTACGCTGCCGCCGCTGCTTCTACCGAGACCGCATCCTACGAGTCGACCGACATCAACGGCATCAAGGTCGCCAGCCGCGACCCCCGAGGCCCCACCGCCCGCATCGCTGTCGTCGCAAAGGCCGGAACCAGGTACCAGCCATTGCCTGGCCTGTCCGTGGGACTTGAGGAGTTTGCCTTCAAGGCGAGTCAACACAGCACCCACGCCCGCGACGCACTCAGCGGAGGGATGAGCTAATTTGTTTTCCGTCATGCAGAACACCGACAGGCGGTCGGCCCTGAGGATCACAAGAGAGTCTGAGCTTCTGGGAGGCCAATTGACTGCATATCACACGCGAGAGGCTCTCGTCGTGGAGGCTGCCTTCCTGCGGGATGACCTGCCCTACTTCACAGAGCTCCTCGGTGAGGTCATCACCAAGACGAGATACACGAGTACGTTGGATGTCCCACATGCGGTAATGATGGAGATGGGGGGAGGATCCCTAACTAATGTCTTTGTGTCCAGCCCACGAGTTCCAGGAGGAGATTGAGAGGATCGTGCACCTGAAGCAGGCCAAGCTCACCAACGACGCCCTGGGCCAGGCCCTCGACAACGCCCACTCTGTTGCCTTCCACAAGGGCCTCGGTTCCTCCATCTACCCATCCAGCTCGACGACCCTTGGCCCTTATCTGAACGAGAACTCCATCGCCGCCTTCGCTGAGGCTGTCTACACCAAGCCCAACATTGCCATCGTCGCCGACGGTGCCACCCAGGCGAGCCTGTCCAAGTGGATCGAGCCCTTCTTCAGGGACGTTCCCGCGTCGGCTTCTAGCCCACTGCAGCTGTTCACCGAGGCTTCCAAGTACTACGGTGGCGAGCAGCGGACGTCTTCGGCCGGCTCCAACGCCCTGGTCCTCGCCTTCCCTGGCCACAACCTGCACTCCGACAAGGCCGACGTCGCCGTCCTGACCGCCCTCCTCGGCGGTGAGTCCAGCATCAAGTGGTCTCCCGGCTTCAGCCTCCTCGCCAAGGCCTCCGCCACCGCGCCCGGCTCTACCATCGTGGCCAAGAACCTGGCCTACACCGACGCTGGTCTCCTGACCATCCAGATCACCGGTAGCTCTACGGCTGTGAGGAAGGGCGCCGAGGAGGCTGTGAAGGCCCTCAAGAGCGTTGCTGAGTCTGGTGTTACCAAGGAGGTTCTGACCAAGGCCATCGCCAAGGCCAAGTTCGATCTGCTGTCCCAGAACGAGCTGACTGGCACTGGTCTTGTCTCCGCGGGCAACAGCCTGATTCACGGTGGAAAGATCTTCCAGGTTACGGAGGCTCTGAAGAGCTATGAGGCAGTGACTGCCGAGAAGGTTAAGGCGGTAAGTTTTGCCATTGTTCTGACTCGGCTATTTCCATGTGCTAACGCTTTGTACTTCAGGCGGCGAAGGCGTTGTTGGACGGCAAGGCGACGGTGGCGGCAGCGGGAGACCTGTACGTGCTCCCATACGCAGAGGAGATCGGCCTCAAGGTATAGAATCTTAGTTCATTACACGCATCAACCAGGGGGATGGGGAAAATGTATCAACAGTCCAAGCCGTTGTAGACGTGCCATGAGGCTTTGTGAATATAGCACTTTTCTAGACAAGAGAGAGCATCGCAAATTTCACTTTGTTCGCAAAACTACCATGACAGGAATATGATATGGACCAGACTTAATCTATCAAATAAATCAATGGCAACAACTCATCAACGCAATATGTGAGAAGGGCTGGCAGAGAAAGGCTGATGGATGCGCCATTGAGGGTGTCACGTGATGACTAAGGACCGGTCCCGTTCCGTAGCTCGCCGGCTGGCTCGTTCGCTTGAGCTGTTTTGTCGCGGACCTTGGAATCGCCGTCACCACCCTTCATCCAAGAAACCCGTTCACTTTCAACCCCACAAACAATCAGACAAGATGACGTTCGCGTGGAAAGCCGCAGGCCTCAGGTGAGTACCGATGGAGGCTCCTTTTGGAACTGCATCTACCCATTGCCCGCCGCGATTTCGGAGACTGACGGTGTGGTTCTTCCACCGCGCAGCTACAACCGCTACCTCGCCGTCGCCGGCCGCGTCGTGCGCCGAAGCCTGAAGGACGACAAGAGACTCGCCGCCGAGCGCCGTGGAGACATGGATCTGCGATTCGCTAAATGGGAGGTGAGTTAGACCTGCGATACAGTGGATGAAAGGGTCTCGAGGCAGGCGGGAGCTGATCAATGCGACACTACAGAACGGCAAGCAGGGCGACGTCAAGAACCTTGCGCAGGCGAACGCTGCCCTGGCTGAGAACGCTGGGTCTTCCTCATAAGATGCATCAGGGAAAGGGAAACTGTGAGGTGGAATTGGGATGGTGCGTGCATAGAGGTCAAGGCAGGGCGTGATACTCCCGCAACCTTGGGATGGATTTGCCGGGGGCCAGAATGGACGTATAGACTGGCTGTACCATATGGTTGAGTATCGAGAAGCATCAATTGATACTTGACAACCACCAATGTTGGTGTCTGAAAGCCATGATATGCCGTAAAGTGAATCGCGATGCCATCGGTAACCACGCGCTGCTGCATAAACGGCGGGCAGCAAAACGGACACTAGCAAACCGTCTCAGGCTTGTCCGCCGCGGATGCCAACTTCAACCTCTACCATACGATATGTCCTTTTCATACCAGTCAGAACCCACCTCAATTCATTCGCCATCATAGTAAAGTGCGTGCAGTTTGACGTTCGATTACTGAGTTGCGGTGGAACTACGGAAAGCCGTCATCAAATCTCTGCCCGATACACTCCGAGGTCGTTGGAACTGAACCTTCGTCAATTAGGCAGGGCCACCTGCGCTGCACTGCACTGCACCTCGCGCTGCACTTGCGCCATTCCCAACAAAAGCCAGGTTACGTCTCCCACTTTGCCGTGCCGCATCGATGAATGATTTCAGTCAGCCATCAGTGACACTGGATCTTGACGAGGCAACATGATGATGGTGGACGATTCCGGGATGTCCAGAGGTGTGGATCGATCCCCAGCCCAGCGCACCCTCCACGCGTTATAAGCATCTGCAAATCCTCTAACGAAGCTTAGAGTTTCTGGGCCTTTCGCTGAACCAACACGGCCTATCAGACCTGGACGATGAGCCTCCGCCGCCCAAGATCACGAGTGAAGCCGTCATCACCACAGATATTACCAAGAAGTTCCTTACAGCTTGTAACAGTGAGCACCTAAAGCTGTCAGGCCACACTCTAGCCATCTCACTAACCGGTCCGTAGCACTCGAGCCGGGTGAGCTGGTCAAGGATGGCTTCTTCACATTGTTCGAGTCCGTCGGGGCCCTCGAGGTAGTTCCTTCCTGCCTGTCTGTGACAGCCTCTGCACCTAGTGCTGACTTCCTCGTGTGTCACAGATCATGGACCCCAAGATGGACAGCGGATGCCTCGCAGCAGGCGAGTCTTTGGACGACGACTACGATGTGACACGTCCATTGCTGCCAAAGGAGGTGCTGGGTATCATCGATCAATTGCTCTGCCATGAGGTGCGTGATCAGGCCTACTTCCCCCGGCACAGTCTACCTTGTAGCTGACCTTGACAAAGGTGGCCTGGCATTTGGGGTACCCCTTATCCCAAACCCTATTTACCAGTGTTTATCTAGAGGCCATCATGATGCCGCAGCCTCTTGTGATTCAGGAGGCTCATTTTACCCGGAACGCAGAGGACTTCGTCCACAAAGACCCGATGCTTTCAGTCCTGAGGGCGTACTGCCTGGGTCTGCTCAAAGCATGTTGGTACGTAAATGAGCGCATCAAGTTTGAGCATTACTACGAGGTGAGCCGATGAACCCGACGTCTGCAGTCTATGTGCACCGACTGACGAGTGACGCAGGAGGAGGACTTTGTCACAAACACTTACCACCGTTCCCTTCTCGATAATATCGACAGGGAGGAGATCAGGGATGTGTTACAAGAAGCCCGTCGCCTCCTCCGCAGCCACCAGCATGACATAGGACAGGAAATTGTCGAGGCATTGGACTTCCGCCTCGAGCTCAGATATGCATTCCTGCGTGCTATAGAGCTGTCTGAGCTGAGGAGCCATCCGGAGTCCTTGAAGACGCCATGGATCCAAATGAGATCCATTTTGGAACCCATCAACAAATCTCACCATCTTGGCACACCTGTCGCCGAATGTTTCAGCGCAAAGCTTCAGCGGAGGCTAGCCAGCACGATGCCGCCACGGCCGATTGTCCAGCTCAGCTTTGAGGATACATACTTGCATCTCAAGCGCCTGTTTGTGGATGGCATTGAGGTCACTGATGTCCTCAAGTACTCCGATTCACAGAGCCTGCTGGTGAGTCACGGCGTCCACTGCAGTCGGCGAGTTGTTGGCTGACACAGACCACAGAATTTCGCCTTGTCTTTTCAGGCCAAGAAACCACAGCCTCTGGTTTATATCCGCACGCTCTTGCAAAACTACCTTTTCAAGGACATGGTCCTCCTAGGCTGCCTCAGCATCCGCCAGGTCTTTGACGACGACCTGTCCATAGTCGTTCTCCCATGCAGCAGGCTCCTCGATCCTGCCAATGATAAGGTCGAAAGCCCTAACGACGCTCGATTCGCAATCGCGCACCAGATGGAGATCTTCCGACAGCGCGCGGCACAGTCTTACCTGGACGTGTTCCGCGCATTTTGCCAAAACCGCTGCCGCGTGCGGCGCACCTTGTGCCACGCCATCCAGGACTGGGAGGCGGTGCAGGCCGACGCCGAGGAGCTGGACCAGCTGCTCCAGCTGGCGCTGGACGAGAAGCCGATGCTGTACCAGCCGTTCGGGTCGGGCGCGGCCAGCCCGACCTTCTCGCTGCCGCTGTCGAGCTGGGCGTACCTGTACAAGCTGCGGCTGATGGAGTGGATCGTGCAGCTCGGCTTCGAGCTCGAGGTCTACCAGCCGGACGAGCTGGGCGGCATGTACTGGTACCTCAGCTACCTCGCGCGGACGCGGGCCGCGCACGTGGAGCGAATCAAGGCCTTCGCGGTGCGCACGCTCAACGACCTGCGGGCGCGGCCGTCGTCCTTCACGGCCAGCCAGGAGGCGCAGGTGACACGGTCGCTGTCGTACCTACGCGCGACGATCCTCGACGCCGCCGTGACGTGGGAGCTGGCCGACGCGCTGGCCTCGGTGTACGCGTTGGTCTACGACCGACTGCACTTAGCCTCACCACCGCCCCGGCCCTACTCGACAGACGCGCTGCGCTACGAGATCCGCATGCGCCCCTTCCTGTCGGTCGAACTGCCCGAGCTGCCCACATTTGCGGACTTCTCCCACTCGGCCCGCCAGCCCGACAAGACTGACCGCGCCCTGCTCGAGCAGGCCGAGGCGGCCGTGGCGGGCGCCAAGAAGGGCTACGAGCTGCTGACCAAGTTCGACGAGAAGGAGGCCTTCGCCGCCGGCGAGGGCACCTACGGCCGCTGGCTCGCCAGCACGAGGAACGGCTTCAAGAGCGTCATCCAGGCCGGCCTGGCCACGACGGCGCTGAGGAGGATCATCGACGCGCGGGAGAAGGGGGAGGACGTCGAGGCGCCGCTCGAAATCCCGGGGCCGGACAAGGGTTACCACGAGTGGTGGATTGTTCCCAAGATCACTGTCAAGAGCGGTGCTGCTGCTGCTGCTGCTAAGGATTTATCAACGTGATGCGTCTAGACATCAATCATATCATATTAGACGGCACATGGCGTTCTAGTAGTTTGCATTGGAGCCTCATTTATTCCTCGTCCTCTTCGTTATTCTCGTACAACACAGGCACAATCAAGCAGATACATACAACATGTACAGGCCCTTTGATCAGGGGATCGGGGTGGGTGGGTCCTCGTAGCCGTCAGCACCCGAACCTAAATAATCACATGCTAAATTCCCCGGTAACCCCTGCCAAGCCGAAACCATTGACCTTATTTTCTTTTTTGGATCACATGTCACGCTGCTGAAAGAAAACACCATAGATCGAAGTAGTGTGCCCTCGGAATAGGAAGATCGCCTGTTGCCATCTGCCAAACTCCACCGGAACAAACTGCGGTCTATACTTCAGGTGCAAAGGAAGCCTGCCTGCTTTCGATCAAGCCAAAGCCTTCCGCTGTCGCAGCTTCACCGTCTGCTCGTAGAGAACGTCCTTGAACGCAAAAAGGAACGCAGCCGTGAGGACGCTCTGCGTGACCTTGGGGCCGATGCCCTTATACAGGCCGGCATAGCCCTCCTCCTTTACGATCCTCCTGATGGCGCCGGACATGCCCTCCTTCTTCTCACCTGGCTCCGCGCCACCGCCCGCGACGTGGGCCTGTGACTTGACCGTGATGTACGGATATGTGATGCTGGTCGCAAACAGCTTGCCCAAGGCGCCCAGGAAGAAGGCGATTGTTGGGGTCACCCGGCGGCGCTTCTCGACGGTGTTCTTGAGCTGCTCGAAGAGCGTGTACTGCAGGATCGGGTTGATGACGAGGACCAGGGCCGGGAGCACGCCCGCGAACAGCGCCGTTGGGCCTTCCTTCTTCAGAAGCGCGAGGAGCGTGCCGATGGTTGATGGTGCCTTGATGGGCTTTGTGCTTCCTCCAGGGAGAACTTCCTTCTCGCCCTCCTCAGCCTGGTGTTTCCGGGTGGTCATGCGCGTGTTGATGACCCAAATTGGGTTCGTGATGATGACGGTAGCAGATCCGGCCAAGGCACCAGCGATCATGCTCTCGATAGTTGTGAGGTTCTTGGACGCTCGGCCGGCCTTCTCGGCAGCTTTTTCAAAGAATGCGCGGGTCCATTCGTACCAGTAGTAGTAGACAAAGTTAGTCACGGAGATGCCGAATACGGCCGAGTCGAGACCAGCGTAGAGGCCGGCAACACCTTCACGAGCGGTGATTTGGCGGACGGCTTTGAGGAAGGTGGAGTCGGCACGCTTGGATTCGACCTGGGCGCGGGTGGAAAGAGTGATCAGAGGATAGCTATGAGCGACGAGGCCAAGTCAGTCATTATTTTGGCATGATCAAAGCTTGTGCACGTAGAAAACACGGGGAGACGCGTACGTGAGCACCATGGACAGGATTCCGCCACCTGCACCGGCAAGTGCATGGGCGACATTGTCGTTTTGTGGTATCACGGGCTTCGATGCAGCAGGCGCCATTGTGAATGATTTCGTGTTGGTGAGCCTTGCAGTTGGAGATTCCAATGCCAAAAAAAAAGTATAGGTGGTTTGGGTGAATTCAGAAGTCAAAGGTTAGTTGATGTCTTCGTTCATCACGTCGCCGTTGAATGCGGAGACCAAGGCATGGCATTGATTGTGGTCAGTCAGTTGACCAAGGGCGCCGGCGTCTGGGGCACGCAAATCAGCCGAGGTCCGAGTGCAGCAACGGCGCGGCAGTGGTCGCACCCAAGACCCAGCAGCTTGGGACAGGTCTCCGAACCGCCGAAGATTGCCGGATCTTCCCTCGATGACATGTCTTTCTGCCGCCCGAGTTGGGTCGAGCTGGCATCTGACAGCCAGCTGGGGGGCTCCGTCCGGTGATGACTGATGATTGGCACTTGCTTGTGTCGAAAGCCGTTCTCGTTCTCGGTTGGCATCTGCCGACCCAGCCTGTTGGGATTGGTCGCGCTGCCCGCAATACACTTGCAGTAAGCTCAGTGACACAATGCAGCACAGTACAGGGCCACACAGTACAGTCTAGGCACTGCGAGACCCCTTCAGCCCCCCGCAGTTCCCAAGGATCAGGATCAGCCGGCTCCCCCGAGTTTCCAGAACCAGACTTCCATGAGCGGCAGGGCGGCCGTCGCGGATAGATACCAACGTCGTGCGACCCAGCCCAGGTCAGCCCAGTGGTGATGGCCTCCAGCATGGGCGAGTGCATCGGGAAAGGCTCGCACTTGTCGTGTCTCAGTCACTGATGTGGCCCGCGGATGACTTTCGACCCGGTGAGAATGACCTCGAAACGCTTTGGAATCCAAATGTCCCGCGAGAGGGGAATGAGAGGCCGGACTTCCATCCTCAGACGCGGTCTCAAAGGCCAACACAATTAGACCAGGCTGAGAACTTTGGCAGGATGAGCCTTGCGGAATGCCGTTGGTTGAGCCATTGAGCCAGTGCGGTTCAAGTCTCCAGCTGGCAGGCTGCAGCCAGGGTTCTTTTGTCTGATTGCTTGCTTGATTTCTTACGCGGTCGACAAATGGATAAATGGTAGTCTGGGTAGTGTGGTGTATGTGGGACGGGGAAGTGTGAGTGTGAATGTGCGTTATGCACAGTATCTACCTACCGTATCCAGGCAGATGGTAATAACGTCGCCGACTACAGCAGCAGGTGCGAGGGGTTGCTTTAGGTGCGTTGGTTGGCTTGTGGTTCCCCGGCTGCACCGTCAATCCTTCTTGCAAAGGTACCAAGCAATTGCTGCTTGCCCGTCGTGCACGTTCAGCCGTTTTTTGCCTTGGAAGGAACAAGTGCCAGTCGGTTGTGAGCGAGTCACCTCCCAAAGCAGCCGCGAAGGATTCCAAAAACTCCAGCTCCTACACTCCCACTGCCCACTGCCCGTTCTCCGCGCCCACTCCTCCTGTCCTCTCGCCCACTATTCACGCCCACTCACTCCCCCAGTCCCCCGCCCATACGTACGTCCATTCCTCTTCTCTGACGATGATGACGGTCTGCCGCCTCAATTCTCTGCGCTGACGGCGGAGTCAGGGAGACATATCCAACGCCTCGGGTCCGGGCTGTCCCACCTGGCCTCCGCGATGGCCGCCGCGCTTCTCCACGTGGCCTGGCATCGTCGACATGGCTGGCATCGCAGGCGTGGCGGTGTATGCATTATGCTGTCTTGCGTTGTTCTGTCTTGATCGCCCTGCAGTGTGCTGTCATGTCTTGTCCATTCTCGTCCTGCTGTGTGATGATGCCCTCATCTCTCGATCTCGCCTCGTCTCGCCTCGTGTGGCCTCACTTACCTCGCACCCACTCGGCCGCTCGCTCCCAAAGTGTGCCCTCACCTCGGACTGCTTGGCAATTATCCAGGCTTTCAGTGCTCGATGCTCACTCGCCAGTTCGCGAGCTCGACTCCTTGGTGTTGGGTGAGCCTCGTGTCATTAGTGATCAGTCATCATCATCATCAGCCCAGTTTGGGAAGAATAAGCCAGAACTTGACTCCCAAGATCTATCCCTCCAGACTGGCCGCGACTAGCAGCCCCCTACCAACCCCCTCCCCCTGCTGTCAGTGCTATTTCGGGATAAGTTAGGACGGCGACTGCTCCTGCCGCTATCCGTCTCTGGGGACTACCCTGCAGTCGACAGCAGACTACTGTAGTGTGAGATCCACCAGAAGGAACAAACAGGCAGACACTTGTGGTTAGACCTCTCGCCGACCACAGCCCTCAGCAACCTGTAGCTAGGTAGTTCAGTCCGTCAGTCAATTTATCTGCACTCCTGCTTTGAAACCGAGAGCTGTTCATGCCATGGCACTTCAAAATCCGAGCATACAGTACCATCGCTGTCGTGTCGTCTTCGTGTCGTAGCTGACACGGGCTCAAGCTGATCAGATCTGATCTGATCTGATCTGATGCCATCCCGCCCGTCACCCTTTTCTTGCCGTCTCAAACACCCGCTCTCCTCCACAGGTCAACTGCCAGGAAAGACTTGCACGCACGGTCTTATTGCAAAAGGGTCCCTCGTCACCTCGACCAAGCCTTCAAACTGGGGTCCCCAGAAGCCATGGAGGATTACCATCAGATCCAGATGATTCCATAGTCCTTGCACCGCTATTGTTCCAGGCTTGGCCAGCAGAACGCCCCCTTTCAACGCCCTCTGCCGGCAAAAAGCAACTACCTATTTGCCTGGCTTGCCAGGCTTGCCCAAGTACCTGTACTGCTACCTCACGATGGCCACACCAAGGTCTTCGACCATCATCAGGGACCGTTGCGCTCGCGAACACCAGATCTGAGGTGATCTGGTTCTTAGTCTGCTGCCGGTACTGTAATCCCCGTGGCTGTGCTTTCGGGCCTCCCTTTCACTTTTTGCATTTCCTGCGCCCTACACGGAAACCCCAGAGCCCCAGACAGCCAGACTGGACCATGGCCCACTAGGCATCAGGATCCCATGTGCCGTAGCGAGGCTGATCCTTCACTCTCCTAGGCTGGATAGGAGGCTCCGAAGGCAGGCCTGTACGATCCCTTGAATCCACGAGGTGATTGGTTTCTTGACCGACCTGCTCTGCTCCTCCTTCTATCGGCCGAGAAAGCTGGATGACTACCTTGCATTCCCCCGTCATGCCGTCCTTTT